TAATCACTGCGCTACAGTTTCTTCACTTTTTGATGGTGTCCTTTGATGTTCAAAAGTTTTCAATTCTGATGAAGTCTATTTTTTCTTTTATTCCTTGTACTTTTAGTCATGTCTAAGAAACCATTCCCTAATCCAAGGTCACAAAGATTTACTCTTACATTTTCTTCTAAGAGTTTTATAGTTTTAGCTCTTACATTTATGTCTATGATCTGCTTAATGTATTACAGACTATTTCCATATGATTAAACATTTTTCTTTCATAGAAGTAGAATTACTAAGTCAAAGAATGCATGTTTTTTGAGGCTTTTAATACATGTTCCAAAATTGTTGTGATTCTCTTCTCCCTATCATTTCCTTCCCCCTTCCTACCTGTCCCCCACTGCTCTGGTTCAGGCATTTGCCAACTCTTGCCTGGCATGTTACAGTAGTAACACGACCTGTTCTTAACGGGCCCTTTCCGTGCAGTGGATAAGCACAGTGGCGTGGTGATGGTGGTGCTGTGACAATACAGAGGAGGGGCATCTAACCCAGTCTAGTGATGAAGGGGCTGGGGAGGGCATCAAGGGGGACTTCTTGGATGTCAACAGTGAGCTGACTCAGCAGGTGGCGTGGGCATTAGCAAAGCATAACATGGAGCATCAGCCTCCAGGGCTGGGGAGTGAGGAGCATGTGCAAGGTCCTGGAGGCGGGGGGTAGTGTGGCATGGTGGTCCAGAGATGGATGCTGGCTGTGCCACTTCCTGGCTGTGTGTTTTGGGGGAAAAAGACTTACCCTCTCTGTGTTTTAGTTTTCCTATCTGTAAAACGGGGATAGCAATAGTAGCTAACTCCTAGGGTGGTCAAGGGACCAAATGAGGCAGCGTATGTTGAGGTTCTGACTGCGATGGCCAGTCCCTGAGGAGGAGCAGGTGGAAAAGGTTGGTGTTGGATCTGTTGATATACAGAGGCAGCCATGTGTACGGGTTTGGAGCTGAGTGGAAAGAGATTTGGTTAAGACTTGTTTTTTTTACCCAGGGGGCCCCCTGGGGTAGTGGTGATGAGCTAGTCTCTGGGTCAGACCACCTGGGTTTGGATTCCAGCTTCACTGCTTATTAGTTGTGTAACCTTGAACAATTATATACTATCTCTGTGGCTTAGTTTTTAATCAGTAAAATGAGAATAATAACAGTACCTTGTTTGTACGATTGTTGTGAGGATTAAATGAGTTGATATATAAAGTGCTTCAAATAGTGCCTGACATAATTCTCTTTTTGCTGTTATCGTTATTGTTTTTCTTGGTGATGGCAAAGAGGGGGAGGTAGGAGCTAAAGGAGATGTGGAATTCAGAGAGGTTTGTGGTGGTTTAGGACCAAGATGGGTTTGATTGCCTGTGCAGGGCTGTGGTAAGTCCTGGTGTAGAAGTGGGAGACAGAGCCAGTGCCCGAGTCTTCAGTGCCTGAGGGGCAGTGGCCAGAGGCCAGGAGATGTCAGCAGTGGGAGGGGGAGAGGGAGATGACCAGTGGAAGGAGCATAAAAGGAGCAGGGGCTTTTACAGAGAATGGAGGAATCATGACCCGGAGGTGGCAATAAATAACAATAGCCATAGCTCTTACTTTTATTACTCTGGAAAGGGCAATGGGTAACAAGAAGAATGCCAGCTCTTTCTCCTTGGATCTACCTTCAGTTTGCAGCCATGTGTTCATTCATTCAGCATGTTTCTGCTGAGTGCCTAGACAGGCCAGCTACAGTGCTGGGCACCGGGAATCTGGCGCTGAATGCAACAAACCCAGGTCCTGCCTTCACAGAGCCTACTGGCTGAGGGGAGACGGACATTATACGAGTAATTGTGCAAGTCATTAATCAATACAGACTGGATCATGCCACTCCCCCAGTTCCAGAATCTTCCTTAGCTCTCCACTGCTCCGGATAAAATCCTGACTCCTACGCATGGCTTGGGGGCCTTGCAGGATCGGGCCCCAGTCCCACTCTTGGCAGCTCTCCTGCCCACTTCTGCTCCCTCTTCCAGGCTTCTAGCCTCCTAGGACTGCTTACCGTGCCCCAGAGCAACTGTAACGTCTCCATCGTCCCCTGCCCCTGCTCATGCCCTTTCTCCACCTGGCATGTTCCTACGGTCCGTCAAGGCCAGCACAGCAAGCGAGTCTTCCTGTGGGAGGCCTTTCCCAGTCACGATCACTCTCTCAGCCATGTTCCCGGAGCATCTTGGACTTTTCTGGTTTATAGTGCTCCATGTCTAGAATTAGAGTGGGCAGCGTGGCTCCAGTGGGAGGAGGTCATGACAAAGGCTCTGAGTTAGGAATGGGCATGGAGAGGGGGCCCTGGGAAGAGACTGTGTCGGGGGCGTGGGAGATGCCTGTGGGTAGGAGGAGCACCTTGTGGTTCAGGGGGGTGGCCTCAAATGCCTGGCTGGAGTAGAAGGACAAATTCCCTCCTTTTAGGAATGTTATGGAAAGCTTGGGCTCTGGGAAGAGGCAGTGTGTCCAGGGTGTCCGTATTCTGAGTTTCTCCGTGGAGATGTGTGTCTGGTGAAGAGTCATTTCTGCCTGAGTTGGTGAAGCCAAGGGTGCCGGCAAAACCTGCAGTGGAGCAAAGTGGAGTTATAGAGCCCAGCTGTGGGGTGAGGGGCAGCTCAGAGGCCTGGCAGAAGTGTCTGAACCTTCCCGGACTGGGAATGCCCCACCACTGCTGGTAAGGGCGGCCACCAGGGGATGTGACCGCCCCTGGCTGCCTTCTCTCTTTTTGAGATAAACCCCCTAACCCTTTGCTGGTGTCTTGGTGGTGGTACCTGGAGGGAAGCCCCATAGGCTGGGGGAGGGGAGCCCATGCTCAGACAGGTGCACAGAGGTTAGGGAGCCTCCCTGGGGCAAGTCTCAGAAATCCAGCTGCTGGACCTCAGAGGGTCAAAGGCAGATCCAAACTGTAGCTGTTGATTACCACGCATGAGGCTGCTGCAGCCTGAGCTTTACGGGTAGTCATTGACAGCAAGGTTGGGCCAGGGCCCCAGTGAGGCCCAGATAGAGCCTCTCCACCAGAAAGGCCAGTGCAGGCGAAGAGCTGCCCTGGCCAAGGACAGGAGGCCACCAGGCCAAGAAAGGTGGTGAGAATATTTAGAGTGGCCTCGTTAGAGCTGTGGGACCATCTCTCTTATCAGAGGCTGAGGCTGGTGTCAGGGGAGCCTGGGATGGCTGGCAGGGGTCAGCAAGGGACTGAGGTGCTGGGAGCTCCTGGTCCAGGCTGAGTTGCAACTCAGTCTGGCATCCCCATGGGTGCGGGCAGTTAATCTCCAAAGGCCGGAGTTGCCACTGCTGGAGAGCAGGAACACTGAACTTTTCAATCACATTAATTTCCACAGGAAATTCTTGTCTTCCTTTTGTCCAAAGGTTAGTGATTTATATTTACCATCCTCTTAACTAGCCTTGAAATTTACTGTCGCCAGGTCACCACCAGCATCCATAAATCTTAGGGTGGCAGCTGAGCATAGCCAAGTGGCTTGATCCTTGGAAGGGTACACCCTGGTCCTTTCAGAAGAGCAGATAACTAGCAAGAGACAGTCCGTTCACAGAAGTCGCCCCAAGGAGGGTGGGTACTCACTTGGTAGGGGAAATGAGATGAGGTCTGACCGACAAGGTTGCAGGGAGGCCTTCAGAAGCAGCCATGGAGGAGGCAGGTGGCTTGTGCCTTGGCACATCACCGAAGGAGATGAGCTTCTAGTTGTGGACGGGGCTGGTGGCACAGGAGGTCTCAAGTGACTTAGCTAGGATGGGGAGCAGGGACCAGATTCCCAGCTCTACATTTCCTGTGTGACCTTAGGCAAGTAACTTAACCACTCTGTGCCTCAGTTTCCTCATCTGTAATAATATTACTTGTATTGTTGTTGTGAGGGTTAAACCTCAGTAAATACTGGCTGTTATTCTTCTCTGTCAGGACAGGGTGGGTGGTTTGGTAGTGGCCGCCAGAGTCTGTCTGCTTCACTTCCCTGCTTATACTGCCCTATCCATTTCTCCTTTTTTTTTTTTAAAAAATAATTATTTTATTTATTTTTGGCTGCGCTAGGTCTTTGTTGCTGTGCGCGGGCTTTCTCTAGTTGTGGCAAATGGGGGCTACTCTGTTGCGGTGTGCGGGCTTCTCATTGCAGTGGCTTCTCTTGTTGCAGAGCACGGGCTCTATGCATGTGGGCTTCAGTAGTTGTGGCGCACGGGCTTAGTTGCTTCGTGGCATCTTCCCGGATCAGGGCTCGAACCCGTGTCCCCTGCATTGGCAGGCAGATTCTTAACCACTGCGCCACCAGGGAAGTCTCCCATTTCTCCTTTTAAAGACCTCTTCTTCCGTCTGCTCATGGAATTAGGACAGCAACTGGCAAACTTTTTCTGTAAAGGGCGGTATCTTAGGCTTTGTGAACTGCGTGATCTCTGTTGCAGCTACTCCACTCTGCTGTTTAGCTTGAAAGCAGCCGTAGACATTATGTAAATGAATGAGCTGGCATGTGTTTCAATAAAACTTTATTTGTGGACACTGAAATTTAAATTTCATATGATTTTCACATCACAAAATCTTCTTTTGATTTTTAAACAAAAACATTTTAAAATGTAAAAAACATTTTTAGTTTTAGTTCGAAGGTCATATGAAAACAGATCATGGGTCGAATTTGGCCCATGGCTTGTAGTTTTTAGATCCCTGGATTAGAAGGTGAAATTGCATGGTGGAAGTATTTATTCACTTTTCTCACCTGGGCTATGTCTTTGAGTCACTAAAGAAAGGGGCCCTCGGGTGGGTTTTTCCAGTTACCCTGCAGTGCCTCCTGAGAAGCCTAAAAGCCAGTTGAAGTGAAGGACAGAGGAAGGAGCTCCCTGGGAACCTGAGGCACAGGGACCGGCAGGATGCCTGGGCCTGGCACCTGGCGCTCCCCTGCCAGCAGCCCGAGTAGCGCTGGCTCTGGATTGGCCAGTCACCCCCACCCCGAACCCTAGCTCCAGGGATGACAGTCTCATCCTGCTTGTGTTTCAGAGAACAGCCCCAACCAAGGCGGGAAGGAGTCAGGGACTCGACAGCCTTTGGTGATTCTCTTGGGCTGGGGTGGCTGCACGGACAAGAACCTGGCCAAATACAGCGCCATCTACCACAAAAGGGTGAGTACTGCAGGTGTGCGGACGCCCAGTGCGCTGGGGCCCCTCTGCGGGGCTCTCCCAGCTTTGGCTGCCCTCATCTCCAGGCTGCAGTGGAGGCTGACCACCAGTCAGCCCAGGAAGGCCTGGGAATGGCACCAAGAATAGCCTGTGAGGAAGACGCTGGGCCCGTGGGGACTTGGGCAGGATTATCCACCCTTTGCAGCCAGCTCTGTGGCCTGGTCTGTCCCCTTCAGCCCCCTGACCTGCTCCCCCTCCTTCCTCCCCAAGCCCCACAGTGGACAGCCCATCCCAGATGTGCTCCCAGCTGCGGAGTCAGCCCAGACCTCAAGTCTCTGTTGGCTAGTGCTGCCTCTCTGGGCAGCAGGAACCTGGGCCGGGTGTGCTGGGCATAGTCTGGACTCCTGGGGCTTTCTCCTTTTCTGACCAGGTGAGTTTCTGTCTTAGGGCTGACCATGACCCCTCACGTTTCCAGAGTAGAAGGGCCTCTTGGAAGAGAGATTCAGGACTGCGGTTTCCTTGCTTCATCTCAGGAGGCACCAAGAGTTGTATATAGAGGCTGTGGTTATTGGAGAGAGCCTTGGGAGGGCCTGGTTATATCTGGGAAGCCCCTTTCACAGCTTTGGCCGCTGGCCTGACCCTGCCCTCCTCAGCCCAGACCTCCCAAAGCAGGGAGGCGTCAGTACAGACCCCCAGCCACCAGCTGGAAGCCCTGCACTGAGGAGGAATGGCAGTCACCTGGGAGAAGGGCCACCTGGGGCCCCCTCCTCTCAGCCTCCCTCCACTGACCCACGTCTGTGCTGTGCCCCAGGTGTGTGGTGGCCCTGGAATGGGAGAGGAGTTGGAGGAAAGATGTAGTTCTGAGCTTGAGGCCTCCCCTCAACCAACAAGCCTGGTCCTCTGGCATTGCCTTATTCCTTAAGTAGTTTCAGCTGCTTCTGAATTCTACTTACTGGGTGAGGCTAGTTTGGCTTCTCCATTAGACTAAGATCCTTGAGGGCAGGCAGAGGGCTGGGAATAGGTGAGTGTGGCCAGAACAGAGGACAAAAGAAAGGGCAAGTGTGAAGAGATGAGGCTGGGAGGGTCCTCAGGGGACTAAACAGGGTTGTGATGTTAGACTTGTGCTTCTGAGAGTCCCTCACTGCTGAGTGGGGAAAGGATTGTGGGGGCCAGGACCAGAGGCTGGGAAGTGAGTTTGTTGAGGTGGCCAGGACCTTGGGGCTGGTGGTGCTGGTGGAGGGAAGTTGATGGATCAAGGAGCTTGTTAGGAGGTAGAGTGGTCATTGGATGAGAGATTGTGTGTGGGCACAGGGATAGGGAGGGGTCTGGGTAATGCCAGGTTTCTGGCTGCAGCAGATCCTGGGTTCTTTGAAACAAGGAGCACTAGAAGAGAAGCCGTGGGCTCTGGGGTGGATGAGATTTCCCGCAGGGAGTGTGTAGAGGGCAAGGAGAAGAGGCCCAGGACAGAACCCAAGCTTAAAGGAGCAGAAGATGAAGAGGGTCCCACGAGGAAAGGAGGAGTGGCTACAGATGGACAAGAAAACTCAGGGAAATGTGATGGAATCCACAGGAAGAGAGTCTTAGGGAAATGGACCACTGTCGAGGGAGAGAGGAAAGATGTTCTTGGGGCAGACGGCATGGGAGGAAGTGATGGAGTGGAGGGAGGAAGTGATCCCAGGGAAGGCAGAGGGGTTGAGGTGGCAGCGCTCGTTGGCAGGGGGTTGTCTGGGAAAGGAGTGGGTGCCTTTACCCCCTGGTCAGGAGGATAAGATGGGGGTAGAGAAAAAAATTTTCCAACCCCAAACTCCTGATACTTTATTATTTAAAAGAATATAAAAACGTCATAGTCTGTCCCCTAGAGATCACCTCTATTTAGCCTTAGTATATATCCTTTCGGCTTTTTTTCTGTTTGTGCATCTTTTCTTTACCTAAATAAGATCTCTTGAATACACTATTTTATATCCTGCTTTTTTTCGGACCATGATCTCCACCGTCCCATGTTAATACATTTTAATCTCATCGAGTTTCCAGTCCATATTCAGATTCTCTGATAGTCGCCAAAGTGTCCTTTACAGTTGATTTTCCCGAACCAGGGTCCAATCCAGGATCGCCCATTACATCTAGTTATTTCGTTCCTTAAGTCTCTTATAAGTCTAGAACAGTCTATTTTTTCCTGTTTCTGTCTTATTGAAGAGCCAGGGCTATCAGAGAGTGTTTCTAAGCGCTCGTAATCCCAAATGCTGCTGGAAGGAAAGTACGGTGGGGACCGAAAGGTGTCATGGGATTTAGCCATTCGGGAGAACTTGGGCGACCATGGTAAGAGCAGTGCAGCTGTCAGAGTGGAGTCAGTGGGAGGGGACCAGGTGGAGAGGGTGTCAAAGTTTGGGAAGTGAAGAAAGGGTGGGACAGAGTTAGAGGGGAACATGGTGGGAAGGCAGAGGCTTTAATTTTTTTTAATGAGATCGGTTTGAGCAGGAATCTGGAACGAGGAAGAGACTGAAAGTACAGGAGAGTGAGGTGAGGGCAGATGGATCAGGCTGGGACAGAGCATGTGTGGAGATGGAGAGATGGTTGGCTTCAGGGGAGAGGGAAGAGACTGGGATCGGACAGCCAGTGAGAGCCCGGCCCTTGGTGCAGGGGGGTTCCAGGAGCATCTGACTCGGGAGGTGGCAGCAGAGATGGAAACCTCAGAGCGAGGCCCAGGGAAGCTTGGTGTATGTGCCCTTCCTTCACAGGGGGTGTTGGGCGTTCACAAGGCAAGCTCTGTGCATGCACTCATGGGTGACGTGGAGGTGGAGGGCACATGCGCCCTCAGAGACGGTGAGTTCCCAGGACTTGCTGCTGGGAGTTTATGCCTGTATCAACAGGTAGTGCTGCATGGGAATGCTTCTGGGGAGAAGCGTGTGTGGGCGTGTGTGCACACACATGTGTGGGCTCCTGAAGGTAGTACCTACAGTGGTGTGTGCGCTGTGGGTGTGCGTTGGTGGCTGTGCTTTTTTGTGCACTTCACAGGTGGTGCAGTGGGTGCCATGGGTGTCTGCATCTGTGGGGTGTGAGGCGGACAAGGCTGTGTTTAGTCCCAAGGGTCGTGTGTGTGTGGTGGTGGTGTGGAGTATGTTTGCGTTCGTGGGCGATGCTGTGTGTAAGTTGAGGGTGGGTGGAAAGCACCTTCTGGGGAGTTGGAGCAGAGCTCTTTGTGAAATTTTCCAGATCTGCGGGGCCAGGTAGCATCCGTGACCCCCCCCTGCAGAGTCTTGGGAGGGGTGCTTAGGTACGCTAGGGTCTTGGTGAGAGCAGAGCCAGGAGGAGTTGGGGCACATGTGATCACAGTCAGCGGGAGGGGACAAGGTCAGGAGGCTGGTGGCAGGGTTACCTCAGCTGACCATCTCTCTCTGGCTCTGGGTCATTCGAGTACTGCGCGCATGTAATTTTCTCCTTGTTATTACTCCTACCACCACTAATGACTGCTGTTCTTAGCTGAGGACTTTGTGCCAAGTGCTGTTTTGGGCACTCGAGGTACGTTTTTTCGTTTCATTTTCACCACAATCCCATGAGATGGATGTTATCCCAACTTACAGCTGGGAATGCAGACTCAGAAAGATGAAGATGTTCATAAGTGCTGGTCCCAGGAATTGAGCCCAGAACTGTCCAACCCCAGAGCCTGCCTAACTCAGATTCCCCCGACGAGGGGCCCTTTGTCTCTGGCACATGTTAACGAGAGAGGATTAGGACTCAGGGTGGCTTTGGCTGCCTGTTCTAACTGGCCTAGAAGGGGATCTGTGTGGAGACCTTGAGGTGTACTTGACCCAGGCATTGAGGGGTACAGAGGCCTAGAGAGAGTTTAGCTAAGATTTTAGAATTTGAGGAACAACGGAGTTTACTGTATTTGGAATTTCAGGGAGAGTGAGGAGTGATCCCAGGCCTTGGTACCAGACATTTGGGAGTATGGCCTCTGTTCTCAGGGCCCTGCGGGAAGGTGGCAGTGGCCAGAGACTGACGCCATGTGGGCCTGGCTCACGGGTGGCCTCTGGTGGTCAAGGCTGGGCCTGCAGGCTGTCTCGGGTGTTGGATCTTGTGGGGATACCTGTTTGTCCCTGGGAGGTAGGGACAAGCAAGAGCAGAGTCGCTGTAGCAGGGTGTAGCCAAGCAGTGAGGCCTTAAATGTGCCAGAGTTGAGCAGATGAGGGTGCGGGGTCAGGGGTGGGAGGGAGACAGGGAGCGGACCAGAGTGAGGAGGCTTCCTTCGGGTCAGCCCAGATGTTTCCAAAGTGAGCTCTGGGCTCCAGGCCTCGCATACCATCCCAGGCCGAGGGGGCTTGGCCAGCATGAAGCGCTTATTCCACAAATGGGCCTGGAGTGGACCTTCCTGCGTCTAGGAGAGGTGAGCTGTTGCCCAGACTGCAGCAGGGCCTGGAGCACTGCCAGCTTATGGGCCTGTGGAAATTGGAGCTGCTGGACCCCTCTGACCTTAGCTGCTCCCCACCTCCCCACCCCATCCCCGAGGATGGACAGGGCCTCTCTCCTCTCCTCAGGGCTGCATCGTGATCCGATACACAGCCCCCTGGCACATGGTCTTCTTCTCCGAGTCCCTGGGCATCCCTTCACTTCGTGTCTTGGCCCAGAAGCTGCTTGAGCTGCTCTTTGATTACGAGGTTGAGAAGGAGCCCCTGCTCTTCCACGTCTTCAGCAACGCTGGCGTCATGCTGTACCGATACGTGCTGGAGCTCCTGCAGACCCACCGGCGCTTCTGCCACCTGCGTGTGGTGGGCACCATCTTTGACAGTGGGCCTGGCGACGGCAACCTGCTGGGGGCTCTGAGGGCGCTGGCAGCCATCCTGGAGCCCCGGCCTGCCGTGCTGCGCCTGCTGCTCCTGGTGGCCTTTGCCCTGGTGGCAGTCCTGTTCCACATCCTACTGGCGCCACTCACCTCCCTCTTCCATACCCACTTCTATGACAGGCTGCTCAACGCAGCCTCTCGCTGGCCAGAGCTCTACCTCTACTCCAGGGCCGACGAGGTGGTCCTGGCCAGGGACGTGGAGCGCATGGTGGAGGCACGCCTGGCGCACCGGGTCCTGGTGCACTCTGTGGACTTCAAGTCATCTGCACACGTCAGCCATCTCCGTGACTACCCTACTTACTACACGAGCCTCTGTGTCAACTTCATGCGCAGCTGCGTCCGGTGCTGAGGTCCTTGCCCTACCCACCTCACCTCTGCTCCAGAAATAAATGCCTGACACCTCCCCATAACCTACATCCATAGGTGGGGTCCTCTTCTGGTTCAACTCCCTGCAGCCCTCTGGGACTTTATGGTCCTCCAGGTAGAGAATTTCCATGGGCCTCTGTCCTGGGGACTGTGGTGGTCTGCTTATCCCAGGATTCTTGCGGCAGGAGTGCCTGCGCAGGTCTCTGCGGAAGCCTAGCAGTGGCTGTGTTTGGATAAGTGCAACAGGCTGCTGACTCCTGTGGCATTTAGGCTGTGAAGGGTTAATAAAGCTGCGGGTGGGGGTTAGGGGTGAGGATGAGCCCCAGCATTGAGCTCTGATTCCTTGAATAGAAGGTGAGCTTTGCAGGGAGGTGCCAGAGGGTAGGGGCAGGCTGGGGCAGGGGCTGTGATCTGTGCTCCCAAGTCCCGGAAGGGCAGAGCCCCACAGCATGGAGTGCCGTCCCTGTGGATCCCATTTAGCAGTTCACTCAGGCTTCTCATTGCCAGGGAGTCTAATGTGGAAGCCAGATGGGGAGCTGAGGGTACACAGGTGGGGGGCCTGTCCAGGTGTACCACACTTTGCCAGGAAGCTGCTAGATCCAGGAAAGGTGCAAGATGTGTGTGTAATGGGCAGATGGAGTGGGGTGCAGGAAGACAGCAGCGCCAGATGGGAGCTGGGACAAGCTGAGTCAGGAGCCCTAAAGACCAGAACCAGAACCACTGGCCTGAAAAAAACTCCTTCATCTCCTTGAGGGAGACCCACTTGGATCCTCTGTAGGTAGAAGTGGTGGCTTCAGCCTTAGGGTCCTGTATCATCTATTATTCTACAAGTCACTGCTGCACAATGCTGGCACATAGCTGGCATTCAATAAATTTTTGTTGATTTAATGAGCTTACTGTGGTGATCGAGGGACTTGGGGGGCAGGGATGGGCTTTGAAAGTTTGACCTGCAGCGAAGGAGATGATGGCTGGAAAAGCTCTGGGTGGGAGCTGACCCCTGATTGATAGATAGTCTCAGGGCTGATGGACCCTCTGTCTCCAGAGCCAAGCTCTCCCTACATCGCCTCAGCCCTCCGGGACTCCCCCACTACTGTGGCAGCCAGTTCCTATGCCTGCATGGCTGCATTCCTAGCCATGGCCAACAGGTGGCAGTGCTGCACGCGACAGTGCTCAAGGATCCCACAGCAGGGCGGGTTTCATGCCCTCACTCTGGGTTAACGTCTCCTGTTAGCATATGGTCCCCAGGGTGGAAGTAACCAGCCATCAAGGACCCACTGACGTGAGTCCAGGGCAGGCAGAGGGGAGAGTAGAGAGCCGAAAGGAGCCAGCCCGGTGGGGATTGGGCATTGCCCACTTCTCTTCCAAACCCTCAGCCGTCACTGGAGCTGCTCCGCCTCAACGGGCCACATACATTCCCTAAAATCTTGGGGCCCAGGATCCTTGCTTTCAGAATATTTGGTGTCATCAAGCTGGGCCTGGGCCTGTGAAGGGCCTTCGCTGGACTCCAACCAGGGTGATTTGTCATCTGGGTGCAGAGAGGGACGGGAGCTGCCAACTGGACCTGATTCTATAATATTCACTGTGGGCAGCCCAGAGGAGACAGGTGTGTCAGATTTGGGAAGATGGAGGGTGGGCCTGCTGTGTGAGAATGTGTGAAGGAGAGGAGTCTGGAGTCATAAAGATACTCTGAGGTCTTGAATTTTAGCAGAATCTTGTTTTGTCAAAACAGCTGTGTGTGGGGGACAAGGGCTCATCTGCAGCTTTGAGCCCCTGCCCAAGTACCCAGAATGCTGCTCACTCACTGGCACTGGGCAGCCATGGGGCTAACTGTTTGACAAAGCTCCATCTCCAGTGCTGGCTGCCCAGCCTCAGTTCCCTGACATGAAGGCCCACTTTGGTTAAAGGGGGTTCCTACTGTTTGTTTCATCTGGGCAGTTAACTATAGCAGGCTGTTGGTCACTAGGATGGAGAACAGAAGAAGCCACAGGGGACTGAGATGGTGGTTCCATTTTTGGTCCCTGGCTCACTTCAAGGGACTAGAAAGGGACAGAGGTTTGGGGCTTACGTTTTCACCCAAGCTTATAGCTGTTCCAGCCCTAGACTGGGGGATAGAGCCTGCAACCCCTCTGTAGCCCCAAGCTCTGACCTCTTCTGTGATTAACGAGCTGACGATTCTGCATCGATAAGGAATTAACCTGGAGCCCCTACCCATCAATAGTCAGGAGTCCAGGTCCCGGCCTCACCCCCACCGACAGTGCTCTAGGGCCCCTGAGCAGACCAACCCCACACTGCCTTACAAACCCCGCACTGCGGCCAGGAATTAACCCCTTAGCTGCCTCTGTTCGTGCCACCCCATCATCCGCCCCTCCCTATGCACATGCACAGAGGCAGCAGCTGTTTACACTGGTTTAATCCATGTCAAGTGTAGTTTACAAGGGAGAGGACAAGTACCTCTGTATAGAATATACAGACACAGCATCACACCATGGGGCCCACAAGAAGGGCAGGGGAGACAAACACTCTTCCCTGGGAACAGCAGTCTAATCCCAGGAAAGGTTCTCTGCAGAAGGCTGGGTAGCCAGAAGCACCCTCATCCAGCCCCAGTCTCAGCCCCTGCTTCAGCTCGGTTCCCATTTCCTGTGCCTCCCCCCTCCCCCAACTCCTTATGAGGAGCCCCAGGAGCTAAGACTAAGGAGAGGATCATGTCCCTTGGGGCACGTGCCCCACATCTGGGAGAAGAAATATACACCACTGAACACCGAGCACATGGGAGAGGGAAGAGAACCACGGGAGAGGGAGTGGGGAGGGAGAGGCAGGCACCCCAAGAGGTGGATGGGCCGAGCCCCCAGCCAGCCCTGAACGAGGCACTGCTTCTAGGTGTTCTTAACAAAAGAAGAAAATCATACAACCAAAGGGCAGGGGACGGGATAGAGGGTGAGGAGTTGTCCCATTTATACACAACATTGTAAACATACACGGTCTATATTACATGTGCTTCAGTCTGGTGTTTGCATGTCTGTCTGTCCATCTGTCAGTCGGCGGGGGCGGGGGGGGGGGTGCTGGATCTCAGGAGCCTTGCCTGGCTACTCCCCCTACCCCCACCTCCCTGCCCCACCCTGGGAACGGAACCTGGAACAGGTAGGGTCCCCAATCTTGGTGGGAGCCAGCAGGCAGGGCCTGGGCCTCAGCCTCCACTCTGGCTCGAGTCCTGTGTGTGTGCATGTGTGTGTGCGTTTGTGTGTGCATGTATGTACACGGGGAACCTGTGTGTAAGTATGTACAAGGGGGGGTCACGTCACAGGCGGGGCAGGTGGGGCGCTCGAGGCAAGGCCTGCCTGGGGTGGCTAGCTCACAAGTAGATTCTCCGCAGGTCTCCGGGCGCTGTGATGGTGTTGCACTGAGGGCAGAGCTTCTTGGCACCCTGCAGGGAGAACAGGGAGGGCTCTGGTTATACCCTGTGCCGCACATTTGCTCGTGTGAGCCCCTGGGCCTGCAGCTGCATCTCCCCGAACCAGCTGTGTGCTGGGACCTCGGATCGGTCCTGCCCGCCTGCGCTGGGGAGGCATAGGCGGCTTCTGTGAGCAGGCAGGCACGTTCCTGTGTTGGGGAGACGCCAGGATCAAACCGGCTGGCCAGGCCCGCAGCGGGAGCCCCAGTAATGAGAACAAGGCTGGGTCCAGCTGTGGCTGCCGCGGCCCTAACGAGATTACACGCGGCCTTTGATCAGGACACAGAGCCCACGTCCGGGCCTTTTATTGCTGTCTCCGGGCGACATTTTAATGGCTGCTCCCGAGCGAAGAACAGGGGCAGGAGCAGAAGGAGCTTAGTAATGGGAGGGGGAGGGGCTGAGGCCCTGGTCCTGCTTACCCACACCCAGCCTCCTCCTGACCCGGGATCTCACTGCTATGCGTCATACGTGGGCCTGCTGGGGTGGGGGGATGGGGGAAGGGAGCAGGCAAGAGAACCCACCGGTGGGGAGAATTTAATAAACCTGGGGTCGGGGAGGAGAGAGGGTAGTGAGCTTGGGGGTGAACATCCTGGCTTCGGGCTGTGGTCTATGCTTCTGCTCCCCTGCTCCTCGCTCCTCCTCCCCCGAAGCAGGCTCAAGCACGAGCATGGACATCTGGGCAGTACCCCAAATGGCCACCCACTCCCGACCCCCATGCCACTTCACCAGGGTCCGCAGCCAGCACTCTTCACAGTGCACATGCCAACACTGGATGGACGTTAGGGGCATCGAGTATGAGTCCTAGGGAGAAAATGGGCAGAGAAGGGAGGGGTCACTCTGAGACTGTCCCACCCTCTGAAGGGCCCAGATCACAGGGCAGAGACCCTCTCCAACCCCCAGGGAGCACTGAGGCCTCAGCAAGGGCGCCCGAGGTTCCCTTCCTCTCACCATGCAGATGAGGCATTTGTAACGGTCCCCACGGGATAGCTGCCGCTCCAGTTCCCTGACCCGAGCCTTCAGGGCCTCAAACGTGGTCACAGCTGAATCTTCGGTGATTCTGCAAAGAGGATGGCATACCTGGGCAGGCAGCAGGCTGGCATCCCTAACCTGAACCTCCAGCCTACAACTCCCCTGAATTCCAGAATCGCATATATAGCTGTCTGCTAGACGCCCCACCCATGTCCTCGATCCGCAAACTCCACATTCCAGAACTGCACTCCTCACCCTCTCCTTGCTCCTCTACCTCCGTCCTGGTGAATTTCTAAACCAGACACCTGGGAACCATTCTCAAACCACTTCTTCCCAGTCACTCCTCACATGCAAAATCTGTCATCTAGCTCCTAGTATCTCTGGCATCTCCACTTCTTTCCATAGCTACCACCCCTAGTCCAGGTGCTCATGATTTCCTCTGTGGATTGTGCCATCAACCTGAATGGCCTCTCAGACCCCAGTCCCCTCATTCCATTCTGTTCTCCTAGCACCTAGAATTCTGAAAACCTGACCACTTCTACTTCTAACATTTTAGTGTCTACCTCAGAATAAAGCTCCACCAAACTCTCCACAAGCTTACAAGGGCCTCCTTGGGCCGGTCCCCGCCAGCCGCATCCCTCAAGTGCCCTGCCATGTACTTTATGCTCCATCCATGCCAAACTCCTGAGTTTCCCCACACACCCCACCATTTTTCACTCTACTGGCCTCTCAGCACTTTCTGCTTCTTCTGGATCACCCCAACCTCCTAACTCACTAGTCCCATCTCATCATTCAGGCCTAGTTCCCACCTCCTCCCAGAAGCCTTTTCCAAGCCCCCAGCCAGTACCCCAATGGTGGCTGCCCCTTCTGTGCTCTTCCAGCCCCTGTACTGGACTTCACCACAGCAGTGTAACCACAAATGTCTGTCACTGCTAGACTCACTTCCCTGAAGGCAAGCTGCTCACTATACCACTACACTCTGAACATTAGCCCCACACTAGGCACGTGAGTATGAATGAACATCCGCTGAAGAAACAGCTGGTCTAACCCCCAGGGAGAGTGAAAAATGCGGGGACTGATGAGGCCCCTGGCTACAGTCCTAGCCTACCTCAAGGGCTCCTGCTTGCTTCTTCCTAGACATGTCAGATGTCCTGTTGGTCCTCACCCGTAGTCCAAGCCCTGCACAAGGTCCCTACAACTTCCTGAAGACTCTCTGAGCTGCAATACTGAACAGGGAATAGCTAGGACTATTCTAAAGAGTGATCCCTCCCACCTCTCCTAAAACAAGTCAACAGAACCTGGAGAGGCTCAGAGGACAAAGAATGCTTCCTGGAGGAGTAGAAAAGATGGCACTGGAGACAGGCTTTAGGGAATAATAAGGACAATAATACAAATAAAAGAGCTAAAATTTATTAAGCACTTACTAAATGCCAGGGATTGTACTGAGGGATTAAAAGTAATTATCTTATTTACACCTCACAAAAACCCCATGATGAGATCCTAATACTCCTATTTTATATATGAAGAAACTAAGCACAGAAAAAGTAGCCTGTCCAAGGTTCACAGAGTGGGGAAGATGGGATTCAAACCCTGGCAGACTGATTCTGTGATCAACCAGTAACTGTGTAAGTAACCACTACCCTACACTGGCTACACCCAGGAGGAGACAGGCCTCCAGGCTGAGGGAACAGTGGGAACAAGGCCTAGAGGCCCTAGAGCCCCATCTGGCTGGAAGGCTCACTTCTGAGTAAGCAGAAGGTGCTACACTGGGAAAGGAGACTGTGTCCAAGAAGACCCCAGATGCCGCAATCAGAGAGGAAAGTTTATCTTACCGGCAATTTACAGGAAGTTGTTGAGAATGTTGGAAGAGGGCTGTAAAGGGTAAGAGCTGAGGTTTAAAGGGTGTATTCAATCAGCTGAGGTAGAATCACAAGGGTGGTGTGTGGGCAAGGACCATCTCCTAGGGTGGCCTGTCTTGCCAGCTTAGGGGAGAGAGTTGGCCCAGAAAGCCTGAAAGCTTACAGGTAGTCTGTCCCTGCTGGGTGTAAGTGGTAATGGGGGGGGGGGCATGGGTAGGATGATGGGAAACATTTCATGGTCAGCAATGAACTCTGATCTCTGACCTTTCTCTTTTAGGGCACTAGCAGCAACACAGAATGTGACTTCCTGATGGCTGTGTCCCTATGTCAGGGATGCTCTAGATCCATCACTCCATGGGTCCATGATTCTTTCTGCCTTGCCTCTCTCCAGGGAAGCTGAGAAAGGCTCTGACTACAACTCCTCCTGGCACTGGCGGATTTCCTGGGAGCATCCATTCAACTTTCCAGCTCTGGAAAGCTTTTACCATCCCCTCCTTCCTCACAAGCACTTGCACGGCTGGCTCCTCCCCCAGGCACTTTGCCCAATGCTCTATGTGCCATCCCCACCTGGACTGTTGGTAAGTTCCTGACAAGGAGACAAGGATGGGTAGCTGTGTTCCCTTCCTCTCCAAGGACCAGGCTGATCCTATGAGGTTATTTCAAAGATTGGGAAACCAAGGCCTGGAGCTGGGGGCAGCCTACCCGAGTAGAAAACTGTCAAACCCCAAACCAGAGAATGAGTTAGAGCTGGGAAGGAAAAAAGGATGGGGTCAGGAGAGAATGAAGCCATTTCCCACTTCCATCTCCAAAGGCTCCAAGGCCACATCCAATTCCAGAGCCCACCCTATCTTGGATTTGCTCGGCACATAACTGGCCTCTATTCTTTGCTCTGGTGAACTACCCAGTCCTCCAGGCCCCTGACCCAGGTAGGTTGTGAGCTATTCCTGAGCCCCTCTAGGGTATGGGGTGGAGAATTTCTTGGAAGAAGCCATGTCTTCCTGCCTTTCTCCTCCCCTAGGTTGTGAAAAAGATCTAGGATGGGAACCCATAATGTGTACGGGGAAGAGAGACATCATGGGGACTGAAGGGCCCTAATCTTGGCAAATCCAGACCCAATGGAGATCTCTGCACATGACTGAGCCAGTCCCCAGCTCATCCCAGACAGCCCTGCCCACTGGTGCCTGTGCTCACACAGGTGGGACAGTCCCCAGCTCCCCCAGCCCTCAGCGGGTAGGACCTTCATGGATGGCCACTGGTTCTGGCCCCCACCTCCCCCTGGGCGCCATCCCTGATTAATGATCTTGTCTTTCTGATTTATGAGCAGCCCCTCCAGATGAGGGTGGGTGCCCCTTACGGCCCCGCCCGCCCCGCTCAGCTGGAGTAGGAGAGAATTATTAAATAAACATCCATACGTCACTCCTCCCCCCCACCTCAAGCTGGCTGCGCCGAACCCGTGCGGCCCGCTCTGGCGCTGACATGGAGCAGCTGCGGTGATTCATGGGCAGCTGGGCCCCACGCTGCGGCCCATACATCATGCCAGCAGCACTCACGGCCCTGGCCGAGATAAACTGATCAACCACAACGGGCTGGAATGAATTTATGACAACACAAAATGGAGGGAAACAAATGGGAGGTGACCCTGGGCCACCGACCCGGCCCTGCACCGGCCTGCAATCCACTCTCCTGGCAGAAGGCAAGATGGAACACTGGCCCTGGAATGAAGAGGTTGCCTTTTAACCCTGGGCAACCTAGCCTCGAGAGGAGGGAGGGGCGGGTGTGAGGAGTTAGGCAATGGCCAATGGCAGCAGCTCCAGGCAGCCAGAACTGGACAATGCCACCTCCTGGGGCCAGAACCAGCCTTGCCTGGGCTTCTGGAAAGGCAGTAAGGTGCCCTGCTGATTTCAAATCCTGGTGGCTCCTGAGGATCCAGGCCAGGGGTTGCCCAACCCTGGGAGAAGTGCTAACGGATACCCTTTTCCCCTGCCTGAGAACACCGGCCAAAAATTCCTACCAGAAGTGATGAGACCCAATACTCCTGCCTAAAACCCACTGCAAGCGCCACCGGGACAAGAAAAATGAAACCAATTTAGCTCCCGATTAAGAAACAGAAACTGGAGATGAATCAAGTGTGCTGGCTGGGCTGGGCAGCCATACATCACACTCCCTGGGCGGAGGCCTCTGCAGCGGGCGGGCAGGCAGGCAGGCTGACTGCTCCTCCCTCCACCAAGGCTCCCAGGGCCCGGGCCCAGAGATCAATTCACAGAGGCATGCTCAGCACCAGCTGGGCCCCACCGCTGGCTGTGTGCCCAGGGCAGCAGGCCTTCCTGGTAGCAAAGGGCCCCTCGCCCTCCAACTGAGCTGTGGTTCCCCGGGCCTCCCTCCTGGCCACTCACTTCTCGATGTCACTGTTCTTGCAGGTCTTCTGCATGGCCTCCTGCTTGCTGCTCTCACCGTTGCTGGTAGATGGCATCTCTGCTGGGACAGAGAGGCAACTCACACTCTGGCCAGACTGGGCAGCACAGGTGAGGGGTTGGGTTTAAGGCAGTCACTACCACCCCCCATCACTCCTGACCTGCGTCAGGACTTACCGTCACTGGCCCATTTAGAGAACTCAGGTGTGATGCGTGTGCTGGGAGGGCCACCACTAGAGGAAAGGAAGGAGGAAGAACGAAGTGGGCCCTGAAGGCAGGCAGGATAACCCTGAGGGCGGGTACTGGGTTGACACCCACCTCAGGGCTTCCCATCCCTCTAACCCACCCGGCCCAAGCCTGTGCCCACACTTGCTTTAGGACTGCGCCCCGGAGTGCCTCTCTCTCCTTGGCTTCACCAGGCTCCTCGCCTGTGCAGGGGATGACGTCGGCCTCCGTGTATCTGGCATGGTGGTCAAGGACAATGGATCCTAGTTTGTGGTGGGCCATGAGGGTTGAATCCTCAGGAGGGCTCCCCCGGCCCAAGCTGAGACACTGACCCTGGCGGGGGGGGGGGGGGGGAGGTGTGTGTGGATGAGTGACCGGAGGTGCTCGCTACTTTTCTTATTCCCTTTGGACTGTCCCACCAGCCCCACCTTGTCCCGCAGTGCCCCAAGGATACTGTGGTTTCCCATACTCCAGAGTGTCATCCCCATCCACATCCAAGTCAGCATCACTGTCCGGATTCTCTTTGCCGCTGCACATGACGAAGCCAGAGCCTGTGGGAAGCAGGATATGAGGAGGGCCTGGGGCCAGCAAGACGAGTCCAAGGGTACCCCTTCTGTTTCCCTAGGTACGGGTCAGGTTTTGGGCTAGGCAAGGCCAAACAGAAACGTGGGCTTGGGATATAGAGAGCCAAGAAACTTGGGTGCTCTTGACTCTGACATTTCAGGCCTTTTCACTCTGCATACCTCAGCCTTCTCTGCACTGCCTACTGCTCCAAGTGGTCTCTGCTTATAAACTAGCCCATTCACACACTAGGTCAGGTCCTCAGGAGACACCTAGTCTAGGCCTGCTGAACACCTGTCTTCCAGGTCTAAGAAGAGCAGGAAGAAGACAGAGACATTCAGGTCTACAAGGCCACCCCCACCCATGACCTGGGCATCCCGTGTCCCATGGTCCAGCCTGACAAGCCTACCAAAAGGGAGAGTAGGCTGGCAAAGGCCCGTCAGAGCCATACAGCGGGACCCCCAGCCAACGTCCTGGTTTTGGCCATCAGGTCCTTGCCAGCAAAAACACCAGGCAGCTGTTCAAATATTTGGTGTCTGAAGTGCCTGACATTAATTATTCATCCCAACCTCACTCAGCCCAGATTCCTGGACAAGTGCAGTTATAAAGGGATTAAGAAGGGATGGCCGAGGGAGAAAAAGCACGCACACCTGCTTCTCAAAGCAGTCCATGGAGGCAACCAGGTGGGCGGAGGCAGGGCCAAGGGCCAGGCAGGTAGCTGACCTCACCGAGGAGCATCTGGCACAGCCACAGGCACTCTCGGCCAGTGGCGGCGGTGGTGATGTAAGGCGCTGAGCTGCTTAAGCTACTCCAGACCCGCTCACCTGCCATGTGGTCTGACTCCCAGGACCACCCTTCCTGGTGGCCCAGGGCCAGTGACCACAAAGCTACTTCTCCCTCCCTGCCCATGTCTTCTCCCAGTGGTCCCCGTCTCGGACCACATCTCATGAGCCAGTGGAACAGCCCTGCTGGGGACAAAAGGGGCTGAAAGCGATGGGATCTGGGTTGAGTGGAATCAGAGGTGTGAAGCAGCTCAGGGTTCTGCCCGATGATCTCAGAAATTTCTTGTTCATTCTTCCCACTTCCAGGGTCTTAACACGCTCATCAGGGCAACAGACACGTACCGGGTTGTCATGCCTCTCGCCTGTTCCTTCACCCTGTTACCTTAGAGCTCTGACCCTTCTTTTCCCTGCTCCAGCAGTGTCTGCAGCTCCCCTCTGCACACACGACCAAGTCCCAGCTCCTCAGTTAGACACGCTAAGCTCCGGATGCCCCCACTTCTCCACCTTCCCTCTTTCTCTCACTTCACTCCATGAGCTCCACATATACGGATAGACTACTTACTGCACCTCAAACGTCACCGTGTCCTGCTCATGCTCTCCCCTCCATCTGGAATGTTCTCCACCTTTCAAGCCCATCTCGAAAGCACTTTCTTCCTGATCCTTCTTCTCCCTCCTACACCTCTGGTCTCTGGTCTCACAAAGGTTCCACCCAACCCAGAGGGAAGCAGCACCAGGGAAAGAGAGAGGCCAGGCACTGCCCAGGCTCCACCCCTCCCTGCCAGTCCTCATCTGCCCTCCACAATGAGGCACCAACAAACTCGAGGCAGCAGGCAGGTCAGCAGCAGGGCCATTAAGCTGAGAAAACACCAAGTTACAGCTCTGTCTACTATTCACGGCCAAGTGTCCTGACAAGCAATTCCTGCCTTGTGGGTGAATGGCACCTCTATAAACCCTCTGACAGTTTGGGAGACAAACTCCGCCATCAATCACAATGTAGCCGTCAGGTTCACTTACAGCCTGCGCCTCCCGAGCTCTGCCAACCTCCCTCCCCCAAGTACACACAGCTCAGCAGTCAGCCTCACATCCTTGGCTTAGCCAGGGCCTGCCCGGCCCTGCCCAGTCCTGCCTTTTGGGTGGGCGAGAAGCAAAGCCGAGAATCCTGGCACCACTCCTCAGCCCAGTATGGCTCCCATGGCAAAGCTGAGAAAACTGGGCACCGCCAAACTGCTAGGAAAAGTCCTAGCTTCTCAACACATAAAGCAGCCCAGTGGCCGAAGTCCTTATCTCTGCAGTCTCATTGCCTACCAGGCCTGGACCAGGTCTTGTACTCCAGTGGAACATAGCTATTGTGGTTTCCCAAGTCCTGCGTGTTTTCTCATGCCCCCCTGCCTTTGTACTTCCTGTTATCTCTGCCTAGAAACATCTCCCTCTTGGTCTACAGAACAAATTCCTGCTCGCTCTGCGAGTCTGACTCTTCTCAATCATGCCTTCTATTCATAGTGCCTACACATGGTAGTTGCTCTATAAATACTTCCTGAATGAATTCACCTCAACATTCTCTCAACCTTTATCAAACTCACCCTCTGCCTGGCTTGACACTGAAGACAGTGTTTCCAGATCTGATTCCTACCCTCAAGGTGCTGAGTGTGGACGAGATGTCCCCAGACATTTCTACATAGGGGTCCTTTCTGTGGCGTCCATCCAGGCTCCTGTGCAACTCCAAAATCATATTTATTACCATGTATTGTCACTGTCCCTTACCAGAATGAAAGCCCAAGTCTGTGATCTCAGCGTCATCCAGCACAGAGCTGGCCAGGCCCACAGCGGGTGCCATACAACACACCCAAGCAGTAATGGCTTAATGCCAACAATGCTGTTCTATTAGGTCCTGGGAGCCCTGTGCCAGAAGGAAGGCCAAGGCCTGATTAGCCGGTGGCCTGGAGAAACCTCTCAGGCCACAACCCTCCCTCTCAGACCCCAGCTCTCAGGTAAGCCGCGACCTTCTGCTCCCTTGACCAGCCTGGCAGGATGGAGAGCACAACACATCTTGTTTGCCAAGGAAAAGGCCTGTCTCTGGTCTGAGCAGTTTCCTCTGACCCTGACCCCACGCCCCAGCAGAGACAGATGTTGGGAACCTCTCCCTACCCCCACAGGTGTTCAGAACAGGCTGCCGCCACCAATTTCACTCTTGTGCTGCCCCAGCCAGCTCCAACCTCCTTCCCAGCACATTAAACTTTATTTTCTTAATGAAATGTCACTTGCTGACTTCTGGCAGAATCATAATAAAAAGAAACAGCCATAAAGCCATTTTATGCAGACAGCTCCCCTGCCAGCTTGCGCCCCCCCACCCTGCTTTGAGAAGAAGGCTCCACAGTCATTTTATGTTCTCAGCTGCTGGAACATCCCAAGCCAGTACTCAGAGGCAAGATGGCACAGAGTACTCCTTTCCAAGCCTCTGGCTCCTGTTCTGTGTAGCTCCGGGGATAACAGGCAAGCTGCCACTCCTGATGCTACTATCCAGGGAAGGGACTCTGCCCCTGGGACCTGCAAGATGACCCAGAGTACCCTTTAGTCACCAGGGAGGCCGCCTTGCTGAGGCTCAGCCCCACTATATTGTGGCACAAAGGGCTGGGCTGCCGCCCACAGGCAGACTAAGCCTGAGAGTCAGTGATGCTCAGCAGTGGGGGCCTGGTCCTGGGAGGACGGGCGGTGCAAAAAACCTCTTCCCTCCAACTGGACACTAGCAATAGAAAGGGAGAGGGTTAAGTGCATATATAAGCCTAAATTTTATAAAAACGACCCCCCTCGCATAAACTCCTTTTTTCTTAGGTCAAAGAGAGAGAGAGAAAAAAATCAGCATTAATTTGATCAACTGATCAGATAATCGATTGAGAAACTGGAGATGCCCGCTTACTGGGGGCAGTAACGTCGTGGAACATGAAACCACAAAAACAGAGCCATCGATTTCCTCACCTGCTGCTCCCAACAAAACCAGAGCCCAGGGAGAAAGTAGTCCCGGGGCCTCTGGAGGCGTGTGCTCTCCAAAGGTGTGGTTTGGGGGTGGTGGTGCAGAGCAGCAGCTTCCGGAGAGTTTTACACTGGAATTAGTTACAGATGCAGTTACGGTGTCTTGTGTAAACGCCATCGATTGGGGAGCTGACAGTCTGGGGAGCTGCGATGCGGGACAATCAATCGGCCTGCAGTGTCACCTGCCACCTCGCTGAACAGTTGACAATGCAATTATCCAGTGTGGAGGCAGGGAGTTGGCGTGTGTCAAACGCACTTAGCCACTTTCCGGGCCTCCTCGATAACGTGTTTCACTGCCTCACGTCAGGAGAGACGCAGAGAGACAGACGCCGTTTAAAACCACTGATACTTACTCCTTCTGCCTGTACTCCCCCGGTCCCAGCTTAACAATTGTGTTCCAAAAGGCGATTAAATCCCGTCAGTCGCCACAGGGGACAAGAAGGTGCCCTGCTCCTTGCCACCTCTCCTCGCCCCTCCCAGCAGGCAACAGTCATAACTAAAGGTAGTAAGGAGGTAGAAGGCAGCAGCCCTAACGCTCTCCATTCCAACACTGCCTGCAGCAGTCGGCTGTTCCAACACCTGTCACTGACTGCACCTGGCAGCAGGGCTGTGCTGGGGGACATTTTTAGCATCTGGGGCTCCTATCTTTTGGAAACCAACACAGCAAAGGAGGCAGCAGCTACGGCCAGGCCAATTTCTCCAGGCCCCTGGGCTAAGAACACCTCTCAACCCCTTGACCCATAATCTGGAGCTCAAGTTTTATCAAGCAACAACCAGTTAAAAGACCTGTGCCACAGCTGCCCTGCCTGTCCTCTCCATGGCATCTCATCCCAGGCCACATGGAACCAACTTAAATCTAAGGCAAGAACTCGAGAAAGATGCAGTTCCTAGGCCAGGATTGGGGCAGGGCAGAGGCCCTGGACAGTGGGTTCTGTTAGTATCATCCCTGTCCAACACCTGTTTGATTCAAAGGGGCTCAGTGCTGGATTCCAGGGATGCATTTTCCTCCAGGGCTCAAAGATGGAGCTGCAGCACCTTCCACTTCCTGTGCTGCCTCCTGGGAAATCCCTCCATCTCGCCACTCATGTGCCCACCACATCACTGTGACCTTATCTGAAGCCAACCATTCCATATTCTCTCTCCAGCTTGTCCATTCCAGATATGATGAGCTCCAGGCTCCCCCAATCCAGCTGGGTGAACTTTCACTGGCAACCAAAACAGGAGGGACCAAAGCTCCCACCACAAGTCTCTTCTCTGGGACCCAGGAGCTGGTGACAGGCAATGAGGAGAGCTGGGGCTCATTCATCACGTACCTCCGTTGACTATAGGCAGGAGCGGGTTTGTCCCCAAGGGCTGTATAATTAGGTTTCCGCTGTGGCCCGGCCTAGAGGTCCCTTGCTCTGCCCAGGGCTGGCATAGGGCACCAGAAGAGCGTCTTTCTTCCCTAACTGTTGAGCTCTTTTAGGGGAATGTTGGTGAAATACTAGGGTCCATGTGCTGCCCTTTATGCAATTATTAACTCTGGGTGGGGAGAAACAGCAGTAGCAGGTTAGCAAACCTAAGGTTCAGAGAGGACAATCGACAGCTTAGGCACGCAGCCCAGGGCATCTCCGAGAACTGAGAAGGCCAGAGCGTTTCCTAGTCACTGAAAGTTTCTTCCAAAGTACTCTCTTGAAAACTTTATCTCTTCCTTCAGATTCTTAAAGATCCACTTCCAGCTGGACCTATCTCAGTGCTTACCTGTTCTGTCTGGTCCTTTGCTTTGTCCTAAAATACCAATTCCAAGTACTCCCAGGCCTAAGCAATCTGGGCCTCACCCTCAGTAACCACAGGCCCCATCTCCAAGGCCCATTCCCCTCAGCCAAGTGTCCCACCAAAACCTCTTGCTTGTTCACTGGTTCCACGGCAGAATACATTCGAGGAAACCGATCTGCTCCACCAGACCAGCTCCCAGTGGGCCTGGTGGGAAGCTTTGCTGAGGACGATGAAGGGGTCCTGGTCCGGAAGGAGGGATAGGGGGTGATCGGATACAGGAACTTATCTGCAATTCTTTCATATCCAACAAGAACAGCAATCTCTGTTCTGTCAGCATGCACAGCTTGGCTTAAATGGGCCTCACCACTCGCGTGCTCATCCTGCCTCTGCTCCCTCTCTCTGAAGTCGGCTGGGCAGCTTCTTCAGCCAGCGTTATCACTCCCTCTAACCGGTCTTGGCAGGCAATCTAATTCCTCCTGAAAAGGTCACCGCCATTTTAACTGCCTTTCCATCACATTAAGCACGCGCTGCCCGGCTTGCGGCCCAGCCCGCCCAGCGGGCGATCAATGCGCTACACTGACACCAGCCCGCCTGGCGGGGCCACACCCAACCCCCCAAGAGTTGGGGCCTATCGGTCCTGGCCAAGGAGGGTAGACTGACAGATGGCCAGCTCCTGCAGACAGGGTTTCGGGGGCAGAGGCGGTCAGGATCAGACAGGGCCTCCTTTGATAGCACCCCCCACCGAGGAGCCTCAGCCTCCTCCGCTCCACTGCGCCCTGCTCTCTGCCTCGTGGCCCCTGCTGATCTCGCTGTAAAACAGCCTTTCAAGTCTGCCTGTCTTTTGACTGCACTAAGCTGTTTAAGAGGCGGCAGCAGCTTCTATCAGGAAAGCCGGAGCAATTCTCTGCAGATAAAGGCACCTCCGGCCCCCGTTCCCTCTTCAAGTCTCACTCTCATTCTCGCTCTCCAAATCGCTCAAAGAAAAGCCCCCTTTGAACTCCTCTCAGGAATTCTTGAAAAGAACAACCTCACAGTGTAAACACTCAGGGAAAACTGACACCCCCCCATAGGGCCGAAGAGCCCCTCACACCCGCCCTGCAAGTGTGTCCCAGCGCCTGGGAAATACTTGGTTGTAGCAGCAGGCCCCATGCAGCTTCATCCCCCTAAGCCCTGTTTGGCGCCCAGAAGCCACCAGGTCCAGTTCTGTGCCAAGAAACCTGACTAAAAACTTGCCGCAGTAAAGGAAGATATGAAAATCTGCAGCCACCCAACAGAGCGAACCCAGAGCAGCATCCTGGAACTGCCCCTGAACAGACACCTGTGTGTACAAGTCACTGGACCCTGGGCTTTGCTGCTCATCTTCCCTGGGCCTCAGACACTTGGAAACTCCAGGATAGGACCAGAGTGAAATGGCAAACGGACATCCTCCCAGCTCAGCGCTCAGGCTCGGGAAACGGTTTGGCCTGATTAACCTTCCTGATTTACACTTTGGCTTGTCCCCAAACACTCGGGCAATATGAGAGAAGCCCAGAAGCATAACGCCACACCTGGGCTCGTGGCCCCTTCATGTAGCCGGTCTGCCCTGGATGGCACTGTGGGGACCGATCCTCAGCACCAGCCCGAGAAGCACTGCCCCAGTGAGGCAGAGACCCTCCTCCCAGCTGCTGTGAGATTCCCCAGGGACCAGACACAGCAATACTCCCAAGGGTGTTGCCCAGAGAACTGGAGGCAGATGGGAAGCAGACTGGATCACTTCATGACCACAAGCTGCAGTGCCAGATGTGCCTGTGCACAGAAAGAGAGAAGAGCTGGAGGCTGACAGCTCCCCCTTTGCCCTGCCCAAGGCAGAAGGCTTTGACAAGAGGACACCGACCCTGGGCACCTACCAGTCTGCTATTTGACCTGGTGGGGGTGGGGGACTTCCACTGGGCCAAGCTATATCTCTCCAAGGAGCCAAGTAGGTAGTGGGGCTGGGCAGGGTCCTGCAGAGTCCTCTGCAGCAGTGGGGGAGAGTCCCAGGGAAGCAGGGAGCAGCTGGGCACAGGCCCCTCTTACTTCAGGGCAGAGGGTGCCCAGGGAGAAGAGATGGGATCAGAGCTAAAATTAGATTCACCAGTGAAGCTCATGGGAGGTCAAATTTTGCCATAACTCACTCTCTCCTCTGTAACTGATTTCCCTGACATGGGGCTGAGGAGGAGGGGCCGGCGGGGGGAGGAGTGGGGGGAGGGGGGGGGGGGGGGGAATCCAATGTGTTTGCCTGGAAGCCCTCGGGGCCCCCAGTGCTGGAGGTGTACAGCAGGTTGCTGGATTCTCATTTATCAGCCTTAAGAGGGATGGAGTGATAAATGCATAACCGTCCCTTTAATATTTTATGCAGGTGCTAACGTGGCTTGGCTGTCACCTTCAATGCATCACCCGAGGCTGAGAGACCCCCTCGTCACTCCTAGCCTGCAGCCTCACAGTTCCATTTCCCCACCCAAATACATCCATTTTAATATGCACATCACAGGCAGGCAGCACGGTCACAAAGGAGCCCCACCAGCAGCAGCTCGCACGTGGTGGAATGACCAGCCACCAGCCCTGGCCTCTTGGCTCCCAACAGATGGATACCCAGCAGAGGCCTGGCCACCCGAGTGCCACTGCCTATGTGTCAGCTGCTTGTACCTCGGAAACCACCTTCCAGGAGAGTGGTGGCCCGTATCCGCTTCTGCCCGCACCACTCATACTCCTCAAAGCGGTTGCTGTTCTCATGCTCGATGTCCACGGCATCATCCTCAGCCATGCAGGAGCCTTCCCTCTGTGAAGAGCAGAGCAGGATCATGCGGGTCCCAGGCCATCCCTACCTGCTCCCCAGGGCCTGCAAGGAAGGCACAGCCCTAGCCCCAAGCTGCAGTGTGCCCCACAGGCCCCCAGCTCTAGGGCTCCTTTGAAGTAAACCAATCTAGAGGTCAAAGACCTGGGCTTTTCCCCAATAGTTTTCCACTGGAGCCCCAGGGGAGGAGTGGGAGAGCGAAAGCAAAGGAAGAGAGCAAAGAACAGAGAGTAAGAAGCTGCTGAGACCACAGAGGGACCCCAACAGCCCACAGATCTGGAGGCAGTCAGCAGCCAGTGTCAGGGGAAGGAGGAGAGGGGAGGGGAGGGAGGTGGTGATGGCCCCTCTACCTTAGAAAGGCAATGCTCCACATGCCTACTCATCTCCTGCTCCGATCCTGCCAGGGGGCGGCTGCACAGGGGACATACCTGCCCTTCATCTTGCTTCCTCCGTTTCATTTTCCCAATCCGAGCTGCATGGAGAAACCGAAAACAAAGCATAGAACAGGCAGACGGTCACTGTAGTTCCCAAGGTCCCAGTGGAGCTGACACATCCTGACCTCCTGCCAGCCATTAGCCCTTTTGTTCAGTGCCTCATCTGGCCCTCATCATGCAGCACCTTCGGCTCCTTTGGGGACTGGACCTTGCCAAGAGCACCTGGGGAGGAGATTGGTGCTAGGCCAGTGAAGTGTCCACTCTTCGGCCACAGCTGGCTCAAGCTCAACCCTTACCTTCCTACCTGCAGTGCTCAATGAATCCAGTGAGCAAAGATGCTCTCCTTGGCACTTGCTATGTGTCTCCCCAGAAGGCCAAGACCACAGGCTCTTTTAGAGTCAAGAAGCATAACTTTAGAGAACATTTCTTGGCTAGAATCCAAGGTCCCTCCAGGGGCCTGATTTGGCCTGCTGTTAACTTATCAGTTAAAAACCCCTTTGTTCCTGGGCCAAGAGCCCTGAGGTACAGACCTTAGTGTCCTATGTAGAATTACCCCAGTGAAATTTCTCTCATGTCCACTGGTCCCATTTTACAGAAGAGGAGACTGAGGCCCAGTCATAAAGGTATAGAGGATCTGAGTCAGACAGCCCAGATACCTTGAGAGGGTAGCCCTTACTGTGCCTACCCAAACCTGTTCCATCATTTCTAATCAGTGCAGAGGGCTCCCTGCCATGCTGTCCCGCAGGGGGTTCAATTCCAAAGTGCATGCTGCAAGCCCACAGCACTGCTAATTAATGCCGAGAGATACAATCATTTCTCATTAGCTCACTAATCCCTCTCTGCAGCCCTCCTGTCACTGAAGCAGGAAGGGGTCAAAACAAGGGAGTCTGTTCCCTCTATCCACTCCTGTGATGCAACAGGAGTAGAGCTAGCCACTCTGAGACCAGACTGACTGGGGTGGGGGTAGGGGTGGAGCCAGCCAAGGAGGGAAGGGTTCCCCACTGCAAGGCCAGAAAGAACTTCCTGTGGATACTGACCCTGGTGGAAAGCTCATCAATGCAGTTTAGGGAGCGAGACACAGGTGAAAGGTGATGCAGGTGAGAGTCGGTAAGTTACAGTTTAGAGCTTCAATTATGTGTAAGGTTCAGAGCCAAATACCTTATACAAGGTAGCTCATTTTATTCTATATCCAGAAACTAGGTTGTATTATCCATTTTAACAGAAAAAGATAGTCAAGGCAGTTGTCCAGGTAGCTAAAAAGTGGCAAAGGCAGCATAGGAAACCAGGCCTGACTCCACAGCTTAGAAGGCTCTCCTGTCCCAAGAGTGCCCCCAACTGATCAGCATCAACAAAGACTGATCTTGTGAGTGTGCTAGGTCAGCAAGAATATGCACTTGGGGATCCTGCCTGTTGAGGGTCTGAGGCAGGACTCCAACCCTAAAACAGAGTAGCCCTAGAAAGAGCCCAATCAGCAAGAAAGCCACCATCCCACCAGGACTGAGCATGGAGTTTGAGAAACCGTGGTCTGCAGCCTGGCCCATCTCAATTTCCTGTGCTCTCACTATAGGAGACGTGACTATGTTCTGGTGCCCCGCTTCATTTTGTGGACAAAGATCTAGACTCCTTCACCTTGACTCCCCTAACCCTTGGACTCTCAGGCTTGGGCCATCTTGACACTCTAGAGCAGGGGTCCCCAACCCCCAGGCCACGGACCAGTACCAGTCCATGGCCTGTTAGGAACCGGGCCACACAGCAGGAGGTGAGCGAGGGAGGCTTCATGTGTATTTACAGCCGCTGCCCATTGGTCGAATTATGGCTTGAGCTCCACCTCCTGTCAGATCAGCGGCAGTACTATATTCTCACAGAAGTGCGAACCCTACTGTGAACTGCACACGCGAGGGATCTAGGTTGCGCGCTCCTTATGAGAATCTGATGTCTGAGGATCTGAGGTGGAGCCGAGGTGGTCCCATCACTCCCAAATGGGTCCATCTAGTTGCAGGAAAACAAGCTCAGAGCTCCCACTGATTCTGCATTATGCTAAGTTGTGTAATTACTTCATTATATGTTACAAAGTAATAGTAATAGAAATAAAGGGCACAATAAATGTAATGCGCTTGAATCATCCTGAAACCATCCTTTCCCCCCCCCACCGTCCCAGTCTGTGGAAAAATTGTCTTACACAAAACCAGTCCCTGGTGCCAAAAAGGTTGGGGACCACTGCTCTAGAGCCAGGGCTAGGATGGAGAAGGGATGCTAGATATCAGAAAGGCATTGAGCAAGGTACCCTGAGACTTCTAGAAGCCTGTATGGAGCAGTGTGCCAGTACAAAGGTTCCTCCCCTACCCGGCCTAAAGCTCAAGGGAGTGCCTCTCTGGTAAGAAGGAGACTATGACAGGCACTGATAATTGAATAAAGGAATGAATCTCATAGGATTGCCAAGGAAGGCATGATACTGGATGCTCTCCTTGCCCAGGCCACCCATGCCAGAAAATTCCTTGTAGTCCCAGGAAAGTCCCTGATGGATTGGGCATCACCTGGAAATTCTCAGATAAGCAATTGAGGTTTGATTATTCTACTGCCATTCATCTTCTAAGTCCTGAACTAAGCTTACTAAAACATGATAGGGAAAGTTTGCTCCCTACCTAGAGGCTTCCACTGAGTAGGACAAGTCAAAGTATTGCCAAGGAGGTAGCATGGCATGGTCCAAGAAGCACAGGCTCTGGAGATAAACAAACCAGTTCAAACCATGGTGCAGTTACATCCCAGCTGTGTGGTTTTAAACAAATCACCTTCACCTCTCCCAGCCTCAGTTTCCTCATCTACAAAATGTGTGTTAACACTTCCTCTCAGTTATGATAAAGGTGCTTAACATGGTGCCGGCCCATGATAAATGCTCTCCTTTTCCCAGTCTGGGGCTCAGCCTCCCAGCAGAAACCAAGTGGCAGGAACTGGGGATCTTGAACGTCCATGGCCTCACTCACTAGTTGGCCTAGAGACCCCCAAGCCCCTTAGAGACAACCCCCATATATACCACACCCTAGCCAGCACAAAAAACTAGATCATTCAATTGTGTTCAGCAAATAGGAATGTTCCAGAGGCTTAAATCCAAAAGGGGCACGGGGCGGGGGGGGCGGGATGGTGGCCTGCCAGGTAGTACATACACGGAGTGCTTTCAGAGAAGGCCTCTAAGAGCTGTCGAGCCCACGCTGATCACCTTTGTGAAATGTGGGCCGACTGATAACTCAAAAAGCCCTGGGATGAGTTAGTTCCTGTTGCCGTGGGAACTCCAGATCTCACTGCATTGTCAAGTCTCAGCAGAGAGGCTGTATTCACACTACTGGGCACTGATTAAAAACTGAAAGAAAAACATTCTCAGCGCCCTGCCGGCTTGTACAGTGAGGTCCCAGCAGTTTGCAAATTCAAAACTGAGCTCCCGCGTGGAATTGTGTGGCTTGTTTCTCATTCTCTGGCACTTACTGACCCCCAGGGTTCTTCAAGGCCTAGAGAGGCTCACGCAAGAGCTGGGGACCATAACCTCCACTAGACAGATGGAGAAACTGAGGGCAGCCGCCTTGGTCAGCATATACTCAGGAGCTGTGACTGTGAAGAAGCCGCCAGTGGGCCCTGATGTCGAAGAGACCCAGAAAAGTCAAGAACTGCAGGCAGTGAGGGAGGGAGGAGGCCGGGGGTGGGGCGGAGGGAGGGGCCGCGCAAGACTCACCATTCAGTCGGGTCTGCCGGTTGGCTCGCACTCGCAAGAAGGTCTGGGAAAAGATCCCGAGCAAATGCAAAAAAGAGAGGAGAGCGTCAGCGCGGCCTGGAGTCCCGACCCCTGCCCCAGCCCCAGCCCCCGGTCCACACCTGCCCCGCCCCAAACAGCCCGTAAACAAACCTACTTCCTCCCTCCCGCCGGCCCCCCTGCTCCGCCGGCCGCTCCGGGCCTTCGGCATAGCCGCCGGAGGCTGCTCTAGCGGGACCCCGTGGCCGCCGCGCAGTGCCGCCCCAGCCCCGGCCTCCGGCGCTCCGGGCCCCGCGGCCGCCCGGCCGGCGAGGGCGGCGATGCGGGCGGATTCCCCCCGGCTGCCCGGCGGCGGCGGCACCTCAGCTCCCAACGGCGGCGGCGGCCATGTTGGCCTTGATCACGTGACTCGGCGCCGTCGCGCGCCGGGGGTGAAAGTTCAAGAAGTGGTGGGGGCTGCCGGGCCGGGACCAGGAAACAGCGGCTCGCACTCCGGCAGCAACAGGCTGAGGCCGCCCTGGGGTCCCTCCCACCGGCCGCAAAGCCAACCCGCCCGGGTTTTAGTGGCTGCGAGGTCCTCCCACCCTACTCCACGGCGCCTCCCAGCGCGGGGCTCCTTCCGTCCCGGAACCCCGCCTGGCTCCCGCCTCCCGCGCGGCTACCCCTTTGCTGGGGGGATGGCGTAGCACTTCCTGATCGCAGCGGCCCTTCTCACCGCGAGTCCCAACTGTCTCTTCCCCAGTCCCCAGCCTTTCATCAATCCCGATATTAGAGGATTCCCGTTTCACCTGTCTTCTGGACAACCTTTGGAGCTGCCACTGGCAACGCACAGCCACGCGGCCAAAGTGGAACCCAGCATCCCTCAAACAAGTGCCTTCTCCCAGGATTCTCAGTTTCTAACGGGATACCACCATCCACTCTGGTGTGCCCACACCAGATAGTTGAGAGTGAGTCATCCTTGACCCCACCCTCCTTCAGTTCCTCACACTCAAGCCTTCTTTCATCTCAGAGTCTACCTCTTAAGGTCTCCTACATCTTTTTATCTCCCCTTCTGTGTATCTCCTTCTCGCCCTTCCAGGCCTAACCGAAAAATATCATTTCCTCTCTACTTCCATCTCTACTCTCAGTATGGCTTGTACAAATGGTTGTCGGTGGGCTGACCACTCCAGGGATGGGGCTATGTGTGAGTCCTGGGTGAAGCCAGAGCCCGGCACAGCGCTGGGCACAGGCCAGCCATCCCTGCGTGTTTCTTCAGTGGCTATACCATCTTGGATGTCCTTGCTCTAGTTCATAATCTTAGGAGCTCTCTAAATTTGCAGCTGTCTCCCATCTGGCCTTCTCATCTCCAGCTTTTCTCCCTGTAACCCATCTTCCATCGTACATGCAGTGTGATCTTTGTATCATGCAAAATTGACCCTCTTTCTTCTCCCCTTTAAATCCTTTAGTGGTTCTCCACTGAGATCTGCACCGTGGCATACAGGTCGTCTCTGACGTGCTCTGCCTATTTCTCCAGACTCTTCTTCTGCCACTCCTGCTCTCTCCTTTTCCCCTCCTGACACTACCTGTAGCTCTTTGAGCACCCCATACTCTGGACTTTGGGCTATATTATTCTCCATGCACCCATATTCCCTGCTTGGATAACTGTTTGTTGTTCATCCTACAGGACTCTGGGATGACTTCGCTTTTCCCTCAGTGTTGGGTTAGTTGTTTCCTCTGAGTTTTCACAGTCCCTTGGCTTTCCTTTGAACTTGGATATTTTGACTGTTTACAGACCTGTCCCTTCTACTTGGGAGGTCATCTCTATCCAGTAATGGTCTGGCATGCAGGAGAAATCCGTGGGGTGGAGAGGAGGATATTTATGAGGGAAGCCGCTAAGCCCAGTGCAGGGCTGAGAAACAATCTAGGATTCAAGGCCAGACAAACTCAAGTTCAAATCCTGACTTGGTTACTTATAATATATGTGCTTTTAGAAAAGTCACTTCTTCTCTCTAGGCCTGTTTCCTTAGCTATAAATTGGGGGCAATGAATCCTAGCTTGCACAGTTGCTATGAGGGTAAAGTGAGGTAATGGTTAAAGGGTTAGGTAACCCAGCAGGGGCTAAGGAAATGGGAATCCAAACCAGAAACCAGTACCTCCTGATTTCAGGGCCAAGTTTGATGATTTTTTTAAAAACAGTCCAACATAATTGAGCAACTACTACATGCCAGGTGTTGTGTAAAGATCAGGGGATTCCAGCTTCACTTTCTACCAGTTCCCCTTGTGTTTTACATTCTAACAAAACTGAACTTCTAGTGGGTCCCCAAATACATCATTCTGTGTTACACCTCTCTGCCTTTTGCACATACATAGTGTTGCCTTGATCTGGAATATCTTTTCTTCCTGGTCCACCAAAGTGAACTCCTACTCATCCTGTTCAGTCATTACCTCCTCTGTGAATCTTACCCTGATTTTCTCTTTCATAGCACTTAAAACACTGGGCTGTAATTATCTATTTGCACATCTAACCCCGTGAGGGCAGGGAGCCTGGGCTGAGCATGAGTGAGTACTAGATAAGTGTTTGAGTAAAGGAAGGAGTAAAGAAGGGGCCTTGGTGAGCCCGTCAGTCTAGTGCAAGAGTCAGGCTCATCATGATAGATTAAGTATGTTCATAATTCTTGGCAGCTCCTCCTATCAAAGAGCTGCATTTCCTCATCCCTTGATTGTGTTAGCTTTGTGAGTTCCAGAGCCTAGGCCTCAAGAGGCCTTTCAGCTTTGGCCTTCGCCCTCTTGGCATGACACTGCCCTGAGACTGCCAAGTAAGGAAGCCAGTCTAACCTCCTGGAGGATGATAGGCCATATGGAAGAAAACCAAGGTCCCTAATCTCCCAGACATGTGGTGAGGCCATTTTGGACTTTCTAGGCCAGCTAGTCCTCTAGCTGAATGAGCTTAATGAAAGAGGAAAGGCCTACTCAGCCGACAGAATCATGAGAAATCATGAGAGATTATAAGTTGTATTAAGCCACTAAGTTTTGGGATGGATTGTTATATACTAGAAGATAATGGAAACATACTTAAATGGGTGTTGATATAAGATGATCAGGGCAATAACATGGGCATGAAGGGGTCATGAGAAGAGAAAGCTAATCCAGAAAGGCTTCCCGGAGCAGAGGGAAGTTGGGCAGGTTGTTGAGGGATAAATAGAAATTTGATGGGGTGGGGTAAAATAACCCGGTTAAAAGCAGCATGTGTAAAAGCAGAGAGGCAAGAAAGGAGTGGCACAGCCAACGAGTGGTTAGCATTAATCTGGTGAGCACAGCACACAGGATTCACGGAAGGCAGTATTAGGAATGGAAGCTGGAAAGGTTGACTCTAAATCACAGAGGCCTTGGTGCCATGCCTTTGCACACCTAGCGTATGCCTAGCATGCCATGCCTATGCCAGATGGTTACTCTTCCCCTAGTTCAACAAATAGTGGAGCTGAATGCTGTGGCTGAAAGAGACAGGATCCGCCTCTGAAGGCAGGGCTCTGTCTCCCTTTGGGATAGAATTCTCTGGGATGGAGCCTTGTCTCCCTATCCCAGAATCCCCTAGAGTTGGGTCATTTCTCCATCTTGAATCAGGATTGTTTGGGTGAGGACTGACTGCCTTTCTCAAACCAGGGCTCACAAGAGCAGGGATCCCTCCCCAGGGCTGGCACTTTGGGCTCTGCAGTTTGAGTCCCAGACAGAGGCATCCAGCAGAGGAGGTGCTAGTTGAAGCTGGTGTACAGCCCACACTCCGTATTCCACTCACCAAACTCTGCACCCTGACGCCAGGCTGTGTCAGCTAGGAGGAAAAAGTGCCCAGAGAGAAGACCTCGAATTCCAAGAAAGGCTTCCTGTGTACCAGCAGTGGCCCTGGTTCTCTACCCCAGATGACAGGTCCCTGCTGCCTTGTCTCTTTGCATTAGTCAGGGCTGTGTTTCCCTGTTCACATAAGGGCTCCCTGAGAAGCCGTGCTGCCATTTAGATAGCATGTTCCCTGGAGCAAGCCCTGTTTTCTGCCCTCTGACTGGGGCTCCTGAAGGCAGGGCTCTGTCTTCTCCTTCCTACCACAAATAAGGTCTGTATAAACTGGGATATTACCCTTAGGTCCCCCTCCTGCTCTGATGTTTTAGGATTGTGTAGTTATGCCCAAGGCACTCACAGGCAATCTCTCTCTCTCTCTCCCTCTCTCTCTCTCTCTCTTTCTCTCTCTCTCTCTCTCTCTCTCTCAACGGAACCCTAGAGGAGACCTCCAGATGGCTGGGATGCTTCCGAAGAGCCCACCTGAGCCCAGGTGACCTTGGCATCTCTCCCTAAAATCCATCTATTTATGGCACATTCCCTGACATCTGTGCCTTTCGGTTCAGTTAGAAGCACTAGACACAGAGGGAACCAAACACAGTTCAGGCCTTTCCCCTTGTATCCTGAGGATGGGAGGAGTTAGCCCCAGGCCTGCCCTATAAGGCAGGGCCCATCCCACCCCTCCTCACCTGGTATCTGTCTGAGTGGTGCAGGTCGTCAGTGGCAGACGAGTGTGGTGATGCTGTCGGAGACTCTCCTTCCCTCTTGATGGAAGCAGACAACAAGAGGGACTGGAAGAAGAAAAAGGACACGTGGCCTCAGGCTGAATGAGACCTACAGTCAGTTCCCTAGAGTGTCCGGACCTATGGAGCTTTTGGGATAGAGGCAGAGAAAAGGAGGGCAGAGGGGTAGAGACCGCTTGAGATTCTGAAGGCATGTGGTCAGGCCCCCCAGAGTCTGGTTGTGGGAAAGGATAGCTTGATCCTAGGGATGGGTGGAGACCCCTGGAGAGGGTCCAACCTCTTCCACCCCAGCGAATCTCTGTCCCAGTGGGGCAGGCCTCCCAGTGGGCTGAGACTATATATAGGCTTTGTTCTCCCATAGTGAGCAGAGACTCTGGGACCCCTCTGAAGGGTTGGGGGTAAAGCCACATCCCTGCTGCCCTGCCTGCCCCTAATACAGGCTGGTGGCAGCCCCGCTATGGAGACAGTAAATTAAATAGTGTGTAAGAGTTTCCTTCGTGCAGCTAGGGATGTACACTGGCTCCATTTATCCCTGTGCTGTGGCGATGACCCCAGCAAAAATCCCAGCAAAATTAATCCCCCCATGTCAATCCTGCATGGGCTCTTCTACATATGCCCGCAGTTTAGATTAATAAACTGTCTGCTTTAAATTGTACACGAGCACCACAATTCTAAATACCACATGGCACGTTCAGCCTGCTCTTGCTGCCTCTTGCCAAGGCCTGTTCAACTGCAAACTGGGGCCTGGAGGCCTGAAAGCAATCCATACTTCCTACCCCCCACCTTTTCCAGCCTGCACAGCCCAGAGCCGGAAGCATACAATTCCCTAGGAGGCCTCCCCAGCTTAGAAAACCATGCCAAATCGCCACTGACAGCCCAAAGAAAGCAATTTGGGAAAGATGGAGCAGCCATTTATCCTTCATCTCCGACTGAGCCTTAGGATGTGACCTGCATGCGGTGGCCACGCTGCACATCCTCAGGCAAGGGCCCTGGGAAGTGGGGGGCAGCTGCTGGTCTGGCAGGGTTCCCTGACTCAGCCTCATCACAAGAGCAGGAGGAGGGAAGAGGCCAGGCAGGGACTGGGATGGGATTCCCTGCAACTTGGAGCCCCTTCCTCACCTACCCAGGCCCAGTGGGAGGCCTAGTGGGTGCCTTGGCCCCCAGCTCGGAAAAGAGGTAGGCTTTCAGGCAATGTCCTTTTCCTTCTCTGGTCCCAAGGAGGATGCTGAGGAGGGGAAGCATCGTGGGGCCCCTACCCCCCCATCATGAGAAAGTTCACGCTTGTGTGCTCTCTCTCATTCTCTCTAGGTTAGAAGCCCTGAAAGGCCTCAGCATTACACCTGGGGCAAGCGGAATAAAAAAAGGTCACTGGCACTTTTTAAACATGGACCAAAAAGCAGTAAAATGTGTTTTGAAGAAAAAATCCCGACATTAAATCATGACTTTTTGCCTGGCTCTTCGCCTCATTAAAAGTGGCCTTTTGGAAGGTAAAATTATCATTGTAAGCGATAAGATCTTTAAGAAAATAATTCACGGCTTCTTCACCCTTTAATATGATAGCCGCCACCGGCTAATTTTTTTCTTAATGGCAACGAGGCCATCAATCTTGTCTGAGGCCCCCTCGCCCTCTCCTCCTCCTCCCTCCCTTCCTCCTCCCTGTCCTCTCAGTCTCTTGCTTGAACCTTCTACCTCGTGCCTCTTCTACCCATGACCTGCTTCCCTAAAGCCCCATTCCAGGCTGAGGACAGACCCTGAGACAGGCAGCTTTGGGGGCGTGAGCCTATATCTAGAAGTGGGTGAGCGGTGGCCCTTGCCTCTAAGTCTGATTATCAATGAGCCCATGTTGGTGGTTGCAGGAATCTGCACATATTTAAGACTTCCTGTATGAGTATTCTGACGGGGCCAGGTGGGTGTGCATCTGTGTATGTGGGGAACCAGGTGTGGACGTGGATCGTGTCTGTGTTTGTGCTTTGAACACAGGCCTCACTGGGGTCCAGTCCCCAGCCTGCCGGCCATGCTCAGGTGTCAGGGGTCAGTGGTTGTGGCTGACCTGGCAGCACGTCCGTGACCTGCCTGCCTTAACCACAGCCACTGGAGACTGCAGCCTGGGCCAAGCTCCGCCAGTGTGGCCCCCCCTTCTCCCCCAACGCCTTTTCTCTTTAGGGCTGGGAGGGCTTTGCTTCCTTGGCCAGGGCCTGCATCAGTCCAGGGCTGGGCTAGGTTCCCTGCCCCTCCTCTGTCCAGCTTGCTGTGTTGAGTGATTTCCTGAATGAAAATGCGGAGTCCACTCCCACCTTTTTGAAGGGCCTGCAGGGGAGACAGGCCAACCCCCTGGAAGTAAGATTGTCACTCTGGCTCCTTTTCCCAAAACTGCTCTCTCAGAGGTCACCAGTGCTTTTAAGACTTCTAAATACAATGGCCTCCTTCTCTAGCCCTTTTCTGCTTGACTGCTGACCAGCCCAGACATTTTGGAATTTTCTTCTCTTAGGATCCTGGGACACCATGCTCTCCTGTGCCCCTCCTCACTCGTCACTGTTCCTCTTCTCCCTCCCTGGCTCTGGGACCTTCTCTTGACCTCCAGCACAGGAGTCCCAGACTCCCTTCTTGGCTTCTGCTCTGATCTCTCCACACACACTCCCTTACTGATTTCATCCATTCTGGGGAATTCCCTGGTGGTCCAGTGGTTAGGACTCCGCACTTTTACTGCCAGGGGTTCGACCAATCCCTTGTTGGGGAGCTAAGATCCTGCAAGCCATGCGGCGCAGCCAAAAAAAAAAAAAACGTATCCATTCAGCACTCATTCCTCACTCCCTATAGAAAGGGCTGAGGATTTCTGCTTTTACAAGTCATTGTGAGAACTTATAAGACAGGATGCCACCTTACTGAGGGGTGGGGGAGAGGACACTCAGTGAGTGAGTGTTTAGTCCTCCAACCCCAGGTCCCCACTCCCTCAAAACATCATCACCTTTGGGGATGCAGTACCATCTACCTGTGTGGCCACCTATGGGAGTTCTTGGTACAAGTCATGTCATCCTGCTGAGGCCTCTGGCCCTTCCTTTGAGCCACTTGTCCTTAACTCTTCCTTTCTCCATCTGATGCTTTCAAGCTTCCCTTCCATAGTGTCTGTTCAGAGGGTCAGATTGTCTCCCCAAAAGAGCCCAGCATCCTCTCTGGCTCCCTGTTGCCCTCAGGACAAAGCACATGCACACACCCCATGGTCTGGCTTCTAAGGCCCTGCACCACCTGTCTTGACCTGCACTTCTATATTTTTCTTTACCTGCTACAGCTCACCTTCCTCCTTTGAGTCTCCCCAGACTTAGTGTCTGGGTCCCCCACACCCCCAGGTCATTCTTGGCTTTGACCCCATCCTGACTAGAAGAGAAAGTCAGGTGAGCATACTGTTACTCACATGTATACACACATGTACTCAAGTGCACGGGGCAGCCCGAGGCCTCAGGCTGACGATCAAACCCTGAAAACAGCTGGGGATCCAAGAAGAGCTCCTTTTTCTCAAGAACCAGTTCTGAGTGGGCTTAGGTTAGGATGGGCTGGAGGAAAACACAATTGTCCACCTACCTTGGGGGTGCCTGGAGCCATGGCATCCTTCAGAAGGGAATTCTTGCTGCCAAGAAAGAAGAGAACAGGGTGACCATTCCACTTGCTGCCCAGGGCATGTAAGAGTAGAATAGGAAGAAGATCCCAAGGAGAGAAGACATAGCCAGCCTAGCCCAGCCCCCCTCAGCCAAGCTCCACCCAGCCCATTCAGCCCCAGCTGGCCCTGCCTCACTCAGCCTCCATCAGGGGCCAGGGGCCAGAGTGGGCTCCTGGGCAGGGGTACTGACACTAGGCATGGTAGGCTGTCTCGTGGATCTGAGGAAAGGGGCTTTACCTGACTGCTCCTATCAGCCCTGAGGATTCTTCCTGTCCTGCCCCCTTCCTTCCAACCCAGTCCTCAGCCTGCTCTTAGCTCCTATGGGATTGGGGTGATAGCACTGACATGGCTCTTGTCAATTCTCCTTCCAACATGCTGCAAACTGCGTTAGGCCAGGAATGATCTCCCCCTGATTCAATTTGTCAGCCCCAGGCCCTCCGGCATCAGGCGCGGCAGGCGCGGCAGGTGGGCGGTAGCTGGGCCCTGAAATACGGTGGGCGGCTCAGAGTGGGGGGAGCAGGGGTGGGAGGTGATGGATGGGCTGTGGGGGAGGCGAGGACTGTGTTTAATAACAAAATTGGTATGCAAGGCCAAATCCTGCGCTAAGCATGAATGATCCAGAGCCACAAAGTATTACAAATCCCCGCTAAACAGATGCTGACAATGGAACAAGACGTATCAAATCAGATCCACTTCAGAAACATTAATATCCCTGTTCCTGGCCCTCCCTCCGTGCCACCCCGACTGTGCTCACCACATCTGTGCTCACACGTTCACTTACGTGCTATCACGCGCACAGAAATATTACATGCACACAGAGGCGCTGGCTGATACACACAGGAGGCAGATACAGCCAATTCACATAGGGTCCCCACACAGATGCACATACAAGGAGTACAGGTAGAGCACACGCAAGAGATCCACACAGCACAAAAGACGCACCCCCAGGGCAGATACACTGGGCACACAACGGGTGGTGTATACACAGGGAACACACACTGGGTCAGGTATAGACACACCCAATATGTAAGCAAAGGCATAGGCAGATTTGGATAAAGTAAGAGTTCTCACCCAGGGCCATTTTGCCCCCCCCAGGGGACAATTGGCAACATGTGGAGACATTTGGTTTTTTTTGTTTTTTTTTTGCGGTACGTGGGTCTCTCACTGTTGTGGCCTCTCGCATTGCGGAGCACAGGCTCCGGGGCCATGGCTCATGGGCCTAGCTGCTCCACGGCATGTGGGATCTTCCCAGACCGGGGCACGAACCCGTGTCTCCTGCATCAGCAGGCGGACTCTCAATCACTGCGCCACCAGGGAAGCCCCGTGTGGAGACATTTTTGATTGTCAGAAGTGGGGGCGGGGAGTTTTCTACTGGCATGGAGTGGGTAGAGGGGATTAACCATCCTGCAGGGTACTGGATAGACCCTCACAACAAAAAATTATCCAGCCCCAAATGTCAGTAGTGCTGAGGTTGAGAAACTCTGGTGTAAAGGCAGATACACACATATCCATTGTCTATAATTCTGTCAACGCGTGGTCACACCTGGAGGCTCAGACATGCACGAAGAGGTGCAGGCACACAGAGTCCTGTTCCCAGAGATGTGTCCTTAAAGACACATTCACAACTGTCACCCAAGCCTGGATGAAGAGCTGTGCCCACATCCACACAAGCATGCACAGACACCCACGTGCGCCAACACACACCTGACACTCGTGCACCCACAAATGTAGACACACATGGATACACACCCACACAAGCAGACACGTACATCACAGTGCAGGGTCCAGAAGGCTTGGCAGCAGCAGGCTGAGGCTAAGATCTGAGTGTAAAAACAGCTGTCTGGGGACTTCCCTCGTAGTCCAGTGGTTAAGATTCGAGCTTCCACTGCAGGGGGCGCAGGTTCAATCCCTGGTCGGGGAACTAAGGTCCCACACGCCACGGGACATGGCCAAAATGTTGAAAAAACAAACAACAACAAAAAACAGCCGTCTGCCTGTCTGATCACACAGTGGGGGCGTCACAGGCAGGAGAGGACCACCAGACTGGGTTCCAGTCAGTGCCATTTTGTTCATAAATGGTCCCCATGGTCCTGCTCCTGATCCAGGCACCAGGGATACAGAGAGGAAACTGAGCTGCTTTTGAGGAACTGCTGGGTGCTAGTTTGTTACTTTTATCTTTCCTTCACTCAGTCAACAAGTGCTGACGTCGCCGTTGTGCCAGCCCCATTCCTGGACTTAACGGGTGCAGAACTGAGGCATCTACTGTATGACACTGTTCTCGCCAGACCCCTGGACTGAAGTCTGAGTGTTATCCGAGCAAGATCAGGGTGAAACAGAAGAGGAAAGAATGAACAATTATTGTGTACCCACCACACGTGACAGGCATGGGCTAGGAACTTTAGATGTGTCATCTCTTTAAATCTTCACAAAAACTTTACAAAGTTGACTAGCAGGCTACGTGACACCTCTCTGCTCACACAGCCCATGCAGGGTTTGGGATTTGAGTTCATGTCTGATGGAGTCCAAAGTGCTACTTTTCGGTTGGCCACACAGCCTCCTAAAGACACTCAGGGGTTAGGATGGAGGGCTGAGCTCTGAGTTCTTTTTCTCTCTTCATTTTGGGGAGTGTACTTCTGACCCTGGGCTTTAGTTTATTGCGCTGGTGAATAGAAATGGAGACGTCTCGGGCCAGGATGTCCAGCCTCTCCCTTTGCCAGTCCTATGGATCTTTTCCTGGCAATCCTCTTCCCCTTCCCTCAAGTTGGACTGGTACTACACCAGACTCCTCCCCTCCCCCTGAGCAAGCGCCCCACTGCCCTACCTTTCCTCCAGCAACCTGCTTACCTCCAAGTGTGCTTGGTTCCCCCAGACACAGGAGTCTGGCGAAGGGCCCACCTTGGAGAAGAGAGTCCGAGCCCTGAGCTGCTGGCAGCCGGCTCCGGCCCGGCCCATCCGCTCTGCTCTGCCTTCGTCCCTCCCTGTTTCCACAGCCCGCCCCCAACGATTTCCTCCCTTCTTAGTCACTCGCTGCCTAGTGATCCATGGGTTTTAAATTATAACTGGGACCCAGGAAACGCGTTCCTAAGTACAATATTCATGGGCTGGGCTGACACTTTTAATTAAGGTGATTTACACTGAATTATCCTTGGAAATAAAGAAATGGTGTGCTGCCCGGGAATAAACCATCATCACCAGCCGCCTTTGTAAGTTACACTTCGTTTTAATCTATTTGGGGAATTGTTTATCTAGTTCATTACCCAACCGAACACCGAGGCCGGCCTTAAATAAGGCTTAAGTGGGGGTGGGGGCACTGCCATCTCCACACCCCGCCTCCCGTCTAGTCACCCAGCCTCCCTCTGGCTCCTTCCAGCCCCTTTAAAGCACTGACCAGAGATCCTGCTTCCCAGCCTACAGGCCAGATCTCAAAGTAGGGAAGCCTCCAGGAAAAGGTCTCTGAGCTCAGGCCCCACCAAGCCAAGCCCTCCTTTCAGCTCTGTGCAATCTTTCCGCATCCAAGGCTCTTTCCTCTCTCTGGGTGGAAACTCCTGTTTGAAGGCCACAGAGAAGACTGGGGGCCACTCCCCGACCTACCCTTCAGCCTTCAGCCCCCATCTATTTTCCTGCCTGTCTGTACACATCGTCTCCACCCCATCACCATCCTAGAGAAAGCTTAGCGTGCCCAGAGCTCTGTCCGCTGTCCCCTCCTTCCTTCAGATATCTGCTTCTCTGCCATCATCACTCTTCCCGTGACCCAAGTCAGAAAGCTCTTCCTAGTAAGTACCCCACAAGTAATCAGCTAAGTTCTCTTGCTTCTCCCCCCCCCAGTCTCTCATTATTCCTTCTCTGTTCCCACTGCCACTGCCATTGTCCTAGATCAGCTCCACAACCTGTCCCCTGGACCCTGCCTAACCTCCTCACCTGCTTCCCCGCTTCTACCCCCAAATCATGTCCCACACTGGCCTCCAGAGTGATTCTCCTACAGCTCAGCTCTCTGATAGGCTTCTCCAGCTCACTGATGTTCTAATTCCCCCATTACCTCCAAGACCACCCTCCAGCATCGAAGGCCCTCCACTATCTGTCCTCAGTCTAACTTTGCCCTTCTCGTTCTAGGTAGCCGAGTCCTGGGGCCTTTGGAGTTCCTGTGCAGGACTGAGAGGGGGAATGGTAGAAGATGGGGTGAGGGAGGGTGTGTGGGCACAGCCTCTGATCTCTAATGGAAAAGTGCTTTGAAAAGTGTAAGTGCTTTGCCAATGGGAGTTCTGACTCTTCTTCCTGTGTCTGTGTGCCCTTGTGCCTGTGGGAATGAGCATATGTGGGAAGTGGTTCTTTTAGGGGGTAGGTGTGAGCACATCTATGTGTGTTGGAATGGGGCTGTGTGCGTGTGTGCCTGTATGTTGTGGACATACATTTGCACCTGTGTCTGTGAAAACCAGCCAGCCCTAGTTTGGGAGCTGGAAGGTCCCTGCTCCTCTGTGTGAGCCCTTGGGTGTGTCTAAAATAGCAGCCTGCTCTGTGCTGTTGGGCAGAAGGGGGCAGAGAGCACAAACCAGGCCCACCCAGAAGAGCTCCTCTGGGACCAACCATGTGGGAGGGTGATGGAGAGGCACCCTGGCAGCAGCATCCACAGACTCAGGAGCTGGCTAGGCTGAGGGAAGGGAAGGAGGGCAAAGGAGGCAAAGGCAGGGTAAGAGAGGGGAGGGGACAATTGGAGAGAAGAGGAAAGAAAAGAAAGGGAGGGGAGCAGAGAGAAGGGAACAGAAAGGGAGAATTGGAGAGCTGGGGAAGAAGCTGCTGGCCACATGCCGTGGATGGGGATGCCCTCATCTGGGCTCTGACCAGAACTCTCTGAGTGATGCACACACAAGCTCTGCCCTCCTGCAGGACTCGGTTTCCCCATCTGTGAAATACCTGCTTAAAGCTCGGCGCTGATGGCGGGAAGAGGAGGAGGGAGGGAGCCCGGGTGCCACATCCTCTCCCAACCTCCACTTCTCCCCTCCTGCCTCCTAGAGAGCGGGCAGGAGCGGGGCAAGGGCATCCAAGGCTGGGTCCCTCCCCAAGCTACCCAGGCGCCACGGCCCTCAGCCCGGAGGGAGCTGACACGCTCCTTGGGAATTTATCACGCACCCAATTACAATGTTAATTGGCAAGTTCCTGAAATCAATTAATTCGCAAAGTTTTTCCAATTAAAAATCCAGATAAATCACAAGGGCGGCGGCGGACCGGTCCAGCCTGCAGTCCGGTGGGTGCAGCGGCTGCAGGGAGGTGGGGGGGAGAGAAGAGGGGAGGGGGCGGAGGGCGCGGCTGCCCTTGAACGCCTTTGCCGGCCGGTCGGACTGTCAGCGCGCCGGGCGCGCGGGGCCGAGACAGATAAAACCATCGACCCGTCGCCGCCAGCGCTTCGGCTTTATCGATCCGACGGGAATTTCACTTGCTGTGCAGATCCCGCTGTCCGGCTGTCAGACACCGGGTTGAGGAGGGGGGACGTGCCAAGGGTTAGGGGGTGCTGGGCTGGGCCTGGACGAGAGGGGCACAGAAGTGGGGCACGCAAGACCTGGCGGTGAGGGGCGGGGCAGATGTGAAGGCTCCGGGTGAGGAAATGGACGTGGGCCGAAGGGTGTGGACGTAGGGGATGCTCTGAGAGGACGTGAGGGAGGAGTGATTGGTGCAGGGTCACGGGTGGGGGTGGAACACTTCTGTGGGCAGAAGTGGATGCCCTGGGCAGTGCAGGGATGGGGCCACAGGGACTAGGCTGTAGCGTGGCCCCCAATGAAGAGGCAGAAAGAGAGATTTGGCCCTCATTCTCCAGACCCTTAGGCGTGCACTGCGATTACAAGGCTCTGCGGGTCCCTCCATCTCTGCCTCTATTCTTAGTTCCTGTTGAGAAGTCCTCTACTGGGAGCAAATTACCCAGAAACACTCCTGGATAGCCAAGGTATGGAATTCAATTGCAGAAGGGTGTTTCTTTCACTCACTGCCTGTTCTAGGCTGGTCCTGCGTGTGTGTGTGTGTGTGTGTGTGTGTGTGTGTGAGGCAGGAGTGGTTAAAAGCATGGGCTCTAGAGTCAGATTGATTGGGTTTGAATCTTTACCACTTCACAGGCTGTGCAACCTTAGAGAAGTCACTTAACCTCTCTGACCTCAGTTTCCTCATCTGTAAAATGGAGTTAATAATTTTTACCTAGCTCAGTGGTTGTTGTGAAGGTTAAATAAGTTGACATAATATAAAGTTCTTGGCACACGGTGTTCACCAGGATTATTATTATCATCATTAGTATAGTCTTCTGTGGTAGTTTTAAGTATTCCCACAAATTCTTTGGTGCTCTCTCCTTCAACAGCTTATAGTGTTTAATTCTCCTCTGTTGAGTGTGGGCTGTACTTGGTGACCTGCTTCTAGTGAGTAGAATAGAATACATTAGAAGCCATAGTGTATGACTTCCCAGACTAGATCATAAAAAGCATTGTGGCTTCCTCTCTAGTCTTTCTCTTGGATCACTTCCTCTGTGGGAAGTCAACTGCCATGTCACAGGGAAACTCAAGCGGCCCTGTGGAGAGACCTGCATGTTGAGGAACTGAGGCCTCCTGCCAACAGCCATGCGAGTGAGCCAACCTGGGAACGGATGCTGCAGCCCCCGTCAAACCTTCAGATGACTGCAACCTTGGCTGACATCCTGGCTGCAGCCTCATGAGAGACTGAGCCAGAAGCCACAACTACCCACAACTACCCACAATTACCCAACTAAGCTGTGTCTGAATTGATGACCCACAGAAACCGAAATATTAAGTGTTTGCTGTTTTAAGCCATGGATTTTTGGAGGAATTTGTAACACAGCAACTAGTATTTTGGCCTTCAAAATTCAGCCCAGGCCTCACCTCCCTTAGGAGGCCTTCTCTGCTCCGAGCTGGGTTTGCTGCCTCCTCGATGCTCCCACAGCTCCTGTTCTTCCTGTAGAGCAGTCTCCATCCCTCAGGGTTTCTAGTGCTTGGCTCTCCTTACTCTGCTATTATGAGCTCCTGAGGGTGGGACCATTTCTTTCTTTCTTCTTTTTTTAAATGGAAGTGTAGTTGATTTACAATGCTGTGCCAATCTCCACTGTACATCAGAGTGACTCAGTTATACACATAGAGACATGTTTTTTTATATTCTTTTCCATTATGGTTTATCCCAGGAGATTGGGTATAGTTCCTTGTGCAGTAGGACCTTGTTGTTTATCCATTCTAAATGTAATAGTATGCATCTACCAACCCCAAACTCCCAGTCCATCCCTCTCCCTCCCCCACTCCCCCCCCCCACTCCCCCTTGGCACCAAAAGTCTGATCTCTATGTCTGTGAGTCTGTTTCTGTTTTGTAGATAGGTTCATTTGTGCCATATTTTAGATTCCACATATAAGTGATAGCATATGGTATTTGTCTTTCTCTTTCTGACTTACTTCACTTAGGATGATAATCTTTAGGTCCATCCATGTTGCTGCAAACAGCATTATTTCGTTGTTTTTTTATGGCTGAGTAGTATTCCATTGTATATATGTACCACATCTTCTTTATCCATTCATCTGTTGATGGACATTTAGGTTGTTTCCGTGTTTTGGCTATTGTGAATAGTTCCACTGTGAACATAGGGGCGCATGTATCTTTTTGAATTACACTTTTGGCTGGGTATATGCCCAGCAGTGGGATTGCTGGATCATATGGTAGCTCTATTTTTAGTTTTCTGAGGAACCTCCATACTGTTTTCCATATTGGCTGCACCAACTTACATGGGACCATTTCTGATTCACCTTTGGTCCCCTACACCCTGCACGGGGGATTAGGTGAGAGGGTAGAGGAAGGAAGATCAGTCAAGTCTGGTGACTTGAACTGAACAAGGGGTGGGATTGGGAGTAGTGGAACAGACTGTATTCCCCTTTCCCCCAAAGATGGCTATGACCATGTTTCCCATCCCACATGCTCTTCTGTAATAGAAGCTTGCCACTTCTCCATCAAAAGGTGGGGTGTATGTCCTTGCCCCTAAAATCTGGGTGGGCTAATACTGCCTCAACCAAGAGAGGACAGCAGAAGTGATGTTAAGTGATTTCTAAGGCTAAGTTACAAATGGTGGTCCAGCTTCCATCTCGTTGACTGGAACATTTGCTGTCGAGCCCTAAGCTGCCATGCTATGAGGAAGCACAGGCCACAAGGAGAAGCCATGTGTAGGTGCTTTGGTTACGGCCCCAGCTGAAGTCCTAGCTGACAGCCAACATCAACCACCAGATGTGTGAATGAAGCAGCCAGGCGATCCCAGCTTCCAGCCACCATGTCCTCCCAGCTGGGGCCCCAGATATCATGAAGCAGACACAAGCCATCCCCTCTGTGCTCTGTCTGAATTCCTGAACCCACAGATTCTACAAGCATCATGAAATGGTTGCTTTAAACTGCTAAGCTTTGGGGTAATTTGCTACACACCTCCTCTGCTGCCTTTAACAACCATAGCTCCTCCACAAGGCCCGGGAGGAGGCTCTGCTCAGTCCTTCAGGCAGGGACAAGGGAGGTGGGGTGGAGCAGGAGGGACACGCTTGAGCACGTTCTCAAAATTGTCACCTTTCAGACCTTGAGATTCATAGAGAAGGTGGATGGCAACCCCAGGCTGCACTTCTGGGGGAGCTGCCAGGCCCGGGCCCTGCTTCTGTAACCCTGCCCTGAGGCTCCTCCCCTTTCCAGCTCCTCTTGTGCCCTTTTGAGGCTGAGGCTCACTCTCCTCACATCTCCAAAACCAGAGCAAGAAGAGAAAGGCAGCACCATTCAGCTGGTGGAGCTGAGGATTGAAAGCAGAGTGGAGAATGGCAGCAGGGCCTTGCCTTGTGCCAAAAGGCTGGGACCTGTTGGCCAGAACCCCGAGTGGAGGCCTCCGGCAGGCAGGCTCCCCGTCAGGTGGCTTACCTGGCAGGCAGCTGTGCCAGCTGTTCCAGTTCTTGTTCCATATGCTCCTGCAGCTCGCTGGGCCTCAGCAGGACCTGGCAGATGGGGCAAATAGGGGCCTGGCTGTCAAACAGTGCTGCTGCCTTTTTCTTACCTGGTAAGGGAAGAAGAGACAGACATATAAGCCGGGCTATATGTGGAGGGAAATGCCTTGTCCCAGTCCTCCACCCCAAGCCGGCTGCTACCTCCTAGGGCTTCTTGGCCTAGAGGAAGGGTGAGCCTGAGGGTCTCAGAGCCCATGAACATCACTCAGCTTTGCAGTTCCAGAGGCTGTGGCTGTGCACAGCACCTCCCCAGCCAGCTGCCCCTCTCGGAAATCTATCAGGACGCAATCAATGCTCTGTGCAATCAAACCTTGATCACTTCATTTCACACGTTAGTGAAGCAGGTCTTGTTTAATCACACCATCACCCAGAGTATCCAGGGCCCTCTCTGTCTCTACCTTAACCTCACTGCTTTCACACTCCCCAAAGCAGGAGAAGGAAGAAAAGAGGGAGAAAGGGGATTCTTTCCTGCAGTCATTCAACAAACATTGATGTCTTCACTGAACCAGGCTTAGTGCAGAGTGGTGGGGACACAGAATATAGTCCGATCTAGTCCCTGAACCTGAGGTGCTCACAGTTTAGTGGGAAAGACAGAAAAGGACCTGGGTGACTGCCAGGGTGGCAACCTCTCCCAGTTCCTCACTTTTCCCCATGCTTCTTTCCATGGCCTCTCCTCTCCTCCCTCTGCATTTGGGATGATCTTGTTCATTCTTATGGCCATCACTGCCACCTGTGCCCTGCCGACTCCAGAATCCATTTCTCTATGCCAGATCCCTACCGTATTCTTCAGACCCCTATATCCAAATGCCTAATGGACATAAATGCCTGAATGTCCCACAAAAATCTGAAACTCTACAATCCAGAATTGAGTACTTCAGGTTCTTCACTTTCTCCTCCCTGCCCTCTTCAGCAGTGCTCTTCTCAGTGAAAGACACCTGCATTCACCTGGTCACCCAAGCCAGTAACCTTCGCCTCGCCCTCGGCCCCCTCCCTGGCCTTACTCCCCTTCCCACATTCATTTAACCACCAAGTCCTCTCCATTCTGCTTCAATATTCCTGGAATCTACATTCTCCCAGTTCAGGTCTCACTCCCTCTCACTTGGATAACCTCATTGGCCTCTGTGAGTATAACAGATTCTGAGCTCTTCCCCTCCAAAATGCCCTGCAAATTGTGTACCCCCAACACACAACCACACGTGGGTTTAGCACTGGCTATGCTGACTTGGGGGCCCACTGGGAGCCTGAACTCTATCCCCACCCTGTCCCTGATGGTAAGCAGAGCACACGGTGCTAGGAAGGGGCCTGCAGGTTGCCTAGTGCACCCACTGGGATACCTAAACTCCCTCCCTTGCCACTCTCCCCAGCCAATGCTCCCCTGGCCTCTGCTAACAGGCACAGTGTTGAGGAGCCCTATTCATCTAGAAACATCCCTGTCTATCCATGTAAACTCTGATTGTAGGAAGGACTTCTTTAGCTTAAGGCCACATCTTTCTCCCTGCTTCTTCTTTCCTCTGGTGCTTAGGGAGGGTCAAATTAGCTTTTAGAGAGCTAAAGGGCCATGCCAGTGATGACTAAGATGGTTGCTTCAGTAGGGTTGCCAGATAAAATACAAGATGCCCAGTTGAATTTCACATAAATAATGAATAATTTTTTCGTATAAATATGTCTCAACCATTACACAGGATATACTTATGTTAAAACTTATTCATCGATTTTCTAGAATTCAAATTTACCGGGACGTCCTGTATTTTTATTTGCTAAGTCTAGTAACCCTATGCCTGAGGGAATTCCCAATTCAGGCTGAACACAAGAACCCACCTCCTTTTGACACAAGACTGAGGGTGATCACGGCTCTCCTGGATGCCCAGACTAGGTCATCTGAGAGCTCAGAGGAGGGAGTGATTCATTCTGGGTGTGTGTTTTGAGGAGTGGAAAAAGAGAAGGTTTAACCAAAGAAATGAAATTTGAGATGTGCCTTAAAAGAGTTCCAGGCAGAGAATGGAAGCAAAGGAATGAATGAATGAATGATTGAGTTGTGAGTTTCTTGTGGGTGGGGACCATTTCTTAACCATCTTTTAATCTATAGACAATAGAAAAAAGACCTGGCATAGATTAGATGCTCAACGGTGAAATGAGACAGTGGAGAAGAGGAAGGGAAGGAGGGGAGGTAGGAACGAACAGCTAACTGCCCCAGAAGCAAGATGACCTTTGCAGAGCTGGGATGTCAGCTGGGGAGGCTTTGTGTGTGCCGGGGTCGGGTCGGGATGGCTCTAGTTAGTGTGACTAGGTCTGCGAGGAAGGGACTCTACTGATCATGTGCCCTGGTGGCTGGGCCTCAGATGCTCAGGGGACAGCTGGAAGGCAGCTCTGACTAAAAGAAGCAGATGTGGTCCCGGTCTGGGAGTGAGGAGATGAGGAGTCTAAGCTCATTCTAACTTTATTCAGCCAGAAAATTTCAGAGGTGAGTGAGGCCCTAGAAATTCTGCAGGCCATTATCTTTATTTTACAGATGGGGAAACTGAGGCTCAGAACTAGACAGGGGCCTCTGAACTTGGCTCTTGATCTCATTGCTTCATTTATTTATTCATTCAGCAAGCACGTATCAAACAATTATTCTACATCAGGTATTATTCTATGAGAAACTGAGATATCTTTATCTCTTTCTCCGAGATAAAGATAACACATTCCTGGCCTCAAGGAGATCACAAACTAGTGGAAAAGCTGAAAAAGAAAATCAGTGATTGCAGTCAGTGCAGCCCTGGTCAGGGCTGAGGGAGGCATGAATGGGTGCTTGTGGGGGTGGGCAGGAAGGGGCCAGAGGATGGTGGTAGGACCCAGCCGGGGGGGATGGGGGGTGGGCATTGCTTGATGGCAGGCATGAAGGATGAATAAGGGAGAGTTGACAAGGCTGTTGAAACCAAGCACTGAGGAAGGATCTGGGCATAAGAGGGGAAATGGTAAGAGAGAAGAATGGAGAAAGAGTAGGATCTAGGGCATGGGCTAGGAGCTGAGGTGGAAATATCAGGATTTCAGCCCCTCTCAGCCTGGGATACCAAGTACGGCTCTTAGGGCTTCCTAGAGCCCAGGTTCCTCCCTCTACACCTGGGAGCAGGCACCAGCATTCCCATATACCTGTCCTCAGTTCATCTGCTTTGTTGACAGGGATCTTCTACTTTTCTGAGGTTGGCCTCAGTTTCCCTTTTGGGGAAGGATCCTCTTACTGGCTCCCAGCTTCAGGAATAGCACTCACAGGGATCAGCGGAGGGACCCTGCAGGCTATGCCCTCCATCCCACCCCCATTTTCTCAAGGGCTGGAATGGCAGGTGTCACCATGGCTGTGGGGCCCCTTCTTCCCCTCCCCCGCTGTGTTCCCTATAATTTTATATTGAGACCTGTGGTCATGACGTGGGTTTTACTGCACTAACGACATGGTCTGCCCAGGTTTAATGACAAAATCCATACTCTGGCCCTGGGCCTGCTCCTCGTTTGCATAATTCCCAGAATACAGCTCCCTGAAGCTTTTGACCTGGGCCATTACAGTGGCCATAAAACGGGCCATAAAACCGCTGGGGATGGCCAAAAGGAAGGGGCTGTGGTCTTGCAGGGGTGGGAACAAAGTCTTCAACCCCCTACTCTTCCTAGGCATCCTTTGGCTCTTCCCTTCCACAGTTCCCAGTATCTGGGAGTCCATCTCAGGCTGGAGAGGCTTCCAGAAATCGTTAGTCCAGCTGCCCATCTAATGCAGGAATCCCTTCTCCAACACCGCTGCCAGCATCGCAGGTAGGCAGACCGAGCCCACCAGGGGCGGGCTGTCAGAAGGCATCTTCTCCTAGAGCATTCCTCACTCCTGAACCCTCCCTCCCACCCCACAGCTGGCCAAGCCCTCGGCCACAGGTGGGTCTAGGTCCGAGGGGCCTAGGTTGAATCCTGTCCCTCTTCAGGAGGCCTAGCTCTCCAGGGAGGTCAGGAGCCAGGCTGAGCAGCATCGTGGGGAGACGCGGGAAGCATGAGGGGATGGGGACAGCGACTGGGACGGGCTGTCACTGCTAAAGATGATGAATGGGGGAGGTGAGGCAGGAGGCCCGGTGTTATCGGCAGTGGATGGCGGTGCGGGCGCTTGCCGCTTCTGCTAATCCCCGGGCGCTACCTCAGCCCTTGCACTGATAACGAGGAAATGGGACTGACAACAATTTTTAGCTGAGAGATTCTTCACCAAAATGCCAGGCGGCCGGAGGTCTGACAGCGCCTGATTGAGTGTGTGAGTGTGTGGGGGGAAGGCGCGCGGCCCCCTCCCCTCCCATGCAAAGATGGATCGCTCATTCCGCCTCCCGTCCACATTCATTACCGCACCTCCCTCCCGCCGCCCCGCCGCCGGCTCCGCCGCTCCTGCCACCTCCACCTCTCCGGCTGCCGCAGGTATCACCCAAGCAGGAGGAGAGCAGGGAGCGGAGCGGCCTGACCCTACCCTCGGCCTCATACGGGGCACCGCCAGCTCAAAGAGCAGAGAGTCAGGGCTGAGTCAGGCCCTGCCTGGAGGCTCCTTAGTCGTGGGACCTCCAGAGGGTCCCTTCCCCTTTCTGAGCTGCCGGGATACCTCCCCACCAGAAAACAGCCAGGCTCCACCAGGAAGTGACTGCCTGCGGTTGTAAGCAGCGGGGGACAGGCCTGCTGAGGAGGGGCAGTGCAGCCAAGTAGCTTTTCCCTGGCCTGGGCCAGGCTCCAGCTAGTCCGGCCCTCAAGCCTTGGATCAAGGCCTCAGGTACCTGGGGTCCAGGATCAGCCCTCTGTTGTGCCCCTCTGTTGGGAACTGCTGACCACTGGCAGCTCAAGGGCCGGCACAGCTGCTCCTTTGCCATCTTGCATAGTGAGGCCTGGTGCAGAACTGGGCCCTGGAGGATGAGGGTCTCATTCAAAGGGAAAACCCTCCCTTCCTAGATCACTAACCCACATCCTGCCCTGCAACTCCCAAACATGTGATTCCCTCTCCAGCTTGGCCTGTTTGGTTTTGTCTCAGTTCTGCTGCCTGTGGGTTCCATTCTTGTCTCTCTGT